TCTCCTGCCTCAGCCTCCTGAGTAGCTGGGATTACAGGCACGCGCCACCACGCCCAGCTAATTTTTTGTATTTTTTAGTAGAGAGGGGGTTTTACCATGTTGACCAGGATGGTCTCGATCTCTTGACCTCGTGATCCACCCGCCTCGGCCTCCCAAAGTGCTGGGATTACAGGCTTGAGCCACCGCGCCCGGCCATTCCATCTTAAAAAAAAAAAAAGTAATCCTTGCTTTCCCAAGATGTACAGACTGAGAAGTAAAAGCCAATCAAAGTGAGATGATGGTTGTGACTAGGGTACTGCAGGTGCTGAGAGATCAAGAACAGGAACTCAGCTGGGTGTGGTGGCTCACCCTTGTAATCTCAGCACTTTGGGAGGCCGAGGCGGGTGGATCACCTGAGGCCAGGAGTTCAAGACCAGCCTGGCCAATATGGTGAAACCCTGTCTTATTTAAAAAAAAAAAAAAGAACACAAACTCAAACCTAGTGAAGGAATTCACAGAAGGCCTCTCCAAGGAAGTGATATTTCAAGTAAATCACGAAATGGTTAGCAGGGAGTAGCCAAAAAGGAAGGGAAAGATAATTCCAGGTAGAGAAAATAAGTGTTAAGCCTTGGGTGAGAAAATATGGCATGTTTGAGAAATTGAAAAAATTCAGTGAAAGGAGCTCACAATGTGAGAATTATGAGAAGTAAGGATAGCAGGGTGGACAGGGAATATATTTGGAGGATTTTGTAAGACAAGGTATTGGCACATTATAACAATATCTAACAGCAACAGGAATCCACTAAAGGATTTTTTTGGGGGGCACCTATGATCTTGCCCTGTTGCCCAGGCTGGAGGGCAGTGGTGTAATCATCGTTCATTGCAGCCTTGAATTCCGGGGCTGGGCTTGAACAATCCTCCCACCTCAGCTTTGTGAGTAGCAGGGATTACAGTTCCATGCCACTGCACTCTGCCAACTTTTAAATGTTTTTAGAGATAGGATCTCGCTATGTTGGCTGGGTTGGTCTTGAACTCCTGGCCTCAAGTGATCTTCCCATCTTGGCCTCCCAAAATGCTGGGATTACAAGTGTGACCAGCAAGCCTGGCTCACTGAAGGATTTTTTGAGTGGGGAAATGGCCTTGGCTTTTAGTATGATCACTTTGGCTATTCTGTGGAGAGTGAACTGGCAGAGAGCAAGACCACAGATTAGGACAGTGATAAGCAGCTGCAAAAATCCAGGTAACAGAGTGTGGTGGCTCACAATATGGTGGCAGTAGCACAGATAGAGAATAGGAGGATGATTAAAAGAGATATTTAGGTGGTAGAAAGGATAGAATTTGGTGGTTGATTTGGATTTAGAAAGAGATGAGAGGAGTCAAAAATAACTTTAGAGACAAGCATGATGGCATGCTCCTGTAGTCCTACCTACTCAGGAGCCTGAGGCAAGCTATCACTTGAGCCCAGGAGTTTGAGGCCAGCCTGGGCAACATGGTGAGACCCTGTCTCTAAAAAATAAAATTGGCCAGGCATGGTGGCTCACGCCTGTAATCCCAGCACTTTGGGAGGCCGAGGTGGGCGAATTATGGGGTCAGGAGATGGAGACCATCCTGGCTAATATGGTGAAACCCTGTCTCTACTAAAAAAAAAAAAAAATACAAAAATTGGCTGAGTGCGATGGCTCACACCTGTAATCCCAGCACTTTGGGAGGCCGAGGCAGGTGGATCACGAGGCCAGGCCAGCCTGACCAGCATGATGAAACCCCGTTTCTACTAAAAATACAAAAATTACCCAGGTGTGGTGGCACATGCCTTTAGTTCCAGCTACTTGGGAGGCTGAGGCAGGAGAATCACTTGAACCCAGGCCGGGCGCGGTGGCTCAAGCCTGTAATCCCAGCACTTTGGGAGGCCGAGGCGGGTGGATCACGAGGTCAAGAGGTCGAGACCATCCCGGTCACCACGGTGAAACCCCGTCTCTACTAAAAATACAAAAAATTAGCCGAGCACGGTGGCGCGCGCCTGTAGTCCCAGCTACTCAGGAGGCTGAGGCAGGAGAATTGCCTGAACCCAGGAGGCGGAGGTTGCGGTGGGCCAAGATCATGCCATTGCACTCCAGCCTGGGTAACGAGCAAAATTCCATCTCAAAAAAAAAAAAAATCGCTTGAACCGGAGAGGCAGAGGTTCTTAGTGAGCCGAGATTGCATGCCATTCATTGTACTCCAGCCTGGGTGACAGAGCAAGACTCCATCTCAACAAACAAACAAACAAAAACAGAAACTGGCCATGCATGGTGGCGGGTGCTTGCAATCCCAGCTACTCAGGAGGCTGAGGCAGGAGAATCACTTGAATCCGAGAGGTGGAAGGTACAGTGAGCCAAGATCATACCACTGCACTTCCAGCCTGGACGATAGAGCAAAACTCAGTCTCAAAAAAAAAAAAAAGCCTTGTTAGTTTCTGGCTTGCAAAAATGTGTGGAGTGTAGCACCATTTACTGAATCAGGAAATGTAGAAACAGATTTGAGAGGAAACATGAGTTTAGTTTAATGTGCCTACAAGACATAGTAGAGGCTGTTGGATGTAGAGGATATAGAATTCAGGAAAAAAGGTTGAATGTGAGAATCATAAAGGGCAGAAATAAAAGTCAGATATGAGGAATTTTAACTATAGGTCATATTCAAGCAAAAATTGATGGAACCAGCATATATCAATATATCATTGCCTAAGATGAGCAAGGCTGTAAGAGGGGCAAAGATTTTTTTTTTTTTTTTTTTTTTTTTTTTTTTTTTTGAGAAAGAGTCTACAGCCTTGATCTCCCAGCCTCAAACAGTCCTTCCTCCTCAGCTTCCTGAGTAGCTGGGACTATAGGTGTGTGCCACCACACCCAGTTAATTTTTTTTTTAGAAATGAGGTCTCACAGGCCGGGCGCGGTGGCTCAAGCCTGTAATCCCAGCACTTTGGGAGGTCGAGGCGGGTGGATCACGAGGTCGAGAGATCAAGACCATCCTGGTCAACATGGTGAAGCCCCGTCTCTACTAAAAATACAAAAAATTAGCTGGGCATGGTGGCACGTGCCTGTAATCCCAGCTACTCAGGAGGCTGAGGCAGGAGAATTGCCTGAACCCAGGAGGCGGAGGTTGCGGTGAGCCGAGACCGCGCCATTGCACTCCAGCCTGGGTAACAAGAGCGAAACTCCGTCTCAAAAAAAAAAAAAAAAAAAAAAAAGAAATGAGGTCTCACTATGTTGCCCAGTCTGGATACAAAGACTTTTTGGCAAGTTGCAGCACCTGTCCTCAAGGAAAGTGCAGTGCAATTAGGGAGATAAATATCTGTTCAATTTTTTTTTTTTTTTTTTTTTGAGACGGAGTTTCGCTCTTGTTACCCAGGCTGGAGTGCAATGGCGCGATCTCAGCTCACTGGCAACCTCTACCTCCTGGGTTCAAGCAATTCTCCTGCCTCAGCCTCCTGAGTAGCTGGGATTACAGGCACGCACCACCATGCCCAGCTAACTTTTTGTATTTTTAGTAGAGACGGGGTTTCACCATGTTGACCAGGATGGTCTCGATCTCTTGACCTCGTGATCCACCCGCCTCGGCCTCCCAAAGTGCTGGGATTACAGGCTTGAGCCACTGCGTCTGGCATGTCTGTTCAATTAACAATACAGGACATAGTGTGTAAACATTAGAAGAGAGGTACTCCAGGCCGGGCACGGTGGCTCAAGCCTGTAATCCCAGCACTTTGGGAGGCCGAGGCGGGTGGATCACGAGGTCAAGAGATCGAGACCATCCTGGTCAACATGGTAAAACCCCGTCTCTACTAAAAATACAAAAAATTAGCTGGGCGTGGTGGCGCGCGCCTGTGATCCCTGCTACTCAGGAGGCTGAGGCAGGAGAATTGCCTGAACCCAGGAGGTGGAGGTTACGGTGAGCCGAGATCGCGCCATTGCACTCCAGCCTGGGTAACAAGAGCGAAACTCTGTCTCAAAAAAAAAAAAAAAAAAAAGATTTACAAAAAAAAAAAGAAGAAGAGAGGTACTCCAGTCTGGGCAACAGAGTGTGAGACCCTGTCTCAAAAAAAAAAAAAGTCCTGCGCCGGGCGCGGTGGCTCAAGCCTGTAATCCTAGCACTTTGGGAGGCCGAGGTGGGTGGATCATGAGGTCAGGAGATCTAGACCATCCTGGTCAACATGGTGAAACCCCGTCTCTACTAAAAATACAAAAAATTAGCTGGACATGGTGGCGTGTGCCTGTAATCCCAGCTACTCAGGAGGCTGAGGCAGGAGAATTGCCTGAACCCAGGAGGCGGAGGTTGCGGTGAGCCGAGATCGTGCCATTGCACTCCAGCCTGGGTAACAAGAGTGAAACTCCGCCTCAGAAAAAAAAAAAAAAAAAAGTCCTAGGTGTCATACAAATGAATTCAGCATTTATTAAACAACTATGGGATATAAGTCATCTTCCCCTTCCCATGCAGCTCAGTTTCGTTACTCCCTCCACAGATACTTGCTAAGTATTTAAAAGAATAGAGAATATGAGGTGAAATGGCTGGTTGCACAGAAAGTAGATGTGATTCCTAATTTTCAAGAGCTAACTGTTTGGTGTGGAACTGGTAGTGTGCTCCAAAACAGCTCTCCAGAAAAACAGACTACTCTGATTTGTAGTGTTTGTCAATTTCTGATCTGTTTACCCCCAGCATCGCTGATTTTAAGCTGTCAACTAAGTATCACTAAACTCGGAGTTGAAAACAGATATGTATGCACAATTGGTTTTCAGGAGCTGGTAGAGCTTGCTGCAGAACACCACAGGATGAGTCACACGTACTAAGAAAACCTATACTGGCAAGTGACTATTGAGGCGTTTCTAGAAGGATTAGAACCTGTGTTAGCCCCTTCTCACACTTCCCATCCTTTTCAGAGGCCCATAATCTTTAGATTGCTCTTAAAATTGGTAGTGAATATTTTGGCATTCCTTTCGTATGGTTGACATCTTTTCAAACCAGATTAAGTTACTGGTGCTTCTTGTTCCTGACAGCAGCCCCAGCTATCTGACTTCATGTGAAAGATGGCTAATGCAGAAGTGAGTGTCCCAGTGGGGGATGTGGTTGTAGTACCCACTGAAGGAAATGAAGGGGAGAACCCTGAAGACACTAAAACTCAAGTGATCTTGCAGTTACAGCCTGTGCAACAAGGGTAAGTGGCCAGAGATTTAGATATTCTGAAATATTTTGGGAAGTTTCAAGGGTGGGGAAATAAACTTTATGGTTGCTTAGTACAGTAGAACATTTAATGTCAATCAGAGCTGGCTCAGTTTTCATCTGTATTATGTTTCATACTGTATGATGTGCTATATTTGTCATTTTAATACTTATTACAGCAGTTACTTGTTTCCTTGTATTTGCTTCTCTTCACCTTGAGCTCCTTGAGGGTAAGTTATATGACTCCCTCATCTTATTTTATTATTATGATTTTTGTTCAGACAGAGTCTTACTCTGTCACCCGGGCTGGAATGCAGTGTTAGTGGTGTGATCATAGCTTACTGCAACCTCGAATTCCTGGACTCAAAAGATCCTCCTGTTTTAGCCTCCATAATAGCTGGGAATATAGGCACATGCCACTGTGGCTGATTTTTCTATTTTTTGTAGAGATAGGGGTCTTGCTTTGTTGCCCAGCTTGACTGATCTTATTTACCTATACTACTTTTTTTTTTTTTTTTTTATACTGAGTTTCACTCTTGTTGCCCAGGCTGGAGTGCAATGGTGCGATCTCGGCTCACCGCAACCTCCGCCTCCTGGGTTCAGGCAATTCTCCTGCCTCAGCCTCCTGAGTAGCTGGGATTACAGGCACGAGCCGCCACGCCCAGCTAATTTTTTGTATTTTTAGTAGAGACGGGGTTTCACCATGTTGACCAGGATGGTCTCGATCTCTTTTTTTTTTTTTTTTTTTTTTTTTTTTTTGAGACGGAGTTTCACTCTTGTTACCCAGGCTGGAGTGCAATGGCGCGATCTCGGCTCACCGGCAACCTCCGCCTCCTGGGTTCAAGCAATTCTCCTGCCTCAGCCTCCTGAGTAGCTGGGATTACAGGCACGTGCCACCAAGCCCAGCTAATTTTTTGTATTTTTAGTAGAGATGGGGTTTCACCATGTTGACCAGGATGGTCTCGATCTCTCGACCTCGTGATCCACCCACCTCGGCCTCCCAAAGTGCTGGGATTACAGGCTTGAGCCACCACGCCCGGCTTATCTATACTATTAACAGGGCTTCCTTATGTGTTTACCAAAAGACAGTGTAGCTGGAGTCAGAGAACATCAGCTAAGGCAACAACAAAAGTATTCATGCCATAAATTCTCTGAACCCTTATGGAGGGCAGGGCAAATTATCAAGCTGAGTCTAGCACCTACTACAATACAATGTATTAGGAAGGTGCTGGAAAAAGATAAAATTTAAAAAGGAATCCTTTTTTTTTTCTTTTTAAAGACAGAGTCCCGCTCTTATTGCCCAGGCTGGAGTGCAATGGCTCAATTTTGGCTCACTGCAACCTCTGCCTTCCCGGGTTCAAGCAATTCTCCTACGTCAGCCACCTGAATAACTGGGATTACAGGCGCCCACCACCATGCCTGGCTATTTTTTTTTTTCTTTTTTGAGACGGAGTTTCGCTCTTGTTACCCAGGCTGGAGTGCAATGGCACGATCTCGGCTCACCGCAACCTCCGCCTCCTGGGTTCAGGCAATTCTCCTGCCTCAGCCTCCTGAGTAGCTGGGAATACAGGCACGTGCCACCATGCCCAGCTAATTTTTTTGTATTTTTAGTAGAGACAGGGTTTCACCATTTTGACCAGGATGGTCTCGATCTTTCGACCTTGTGATCCACCCGCCTCAGCCTCCCAAAGTGCTGGGATTACAGGCTTGAGCCACCGCGCCCGGCCTTTTTTTTTTTTTTTTTTTTGTATTTTTAGTAGAGATGGGGTTTCACCATGTATACCAGGCTGGACTTAAACTTCTGACCTCGTGATTGGCCCCACCTCGGCTTCTCAAAGTGCTGCGATTACAGGTGTGAGCCACTGCACCCGGCTGAGTCCGTCTTTTAGTTTGTTTTTTGAGATAGAATCTCACTGTATTTCCCAGGTTAGAGTGTAGTGACATTATTCATACATGAGAATGTATTCTTTTTTTTTTTTCTGAGATGGAGTCTTGCTCTATAACCCAGGCTGTAGTGCAGTGGCTCAACTAGCCTTATTGTAACCTCCGCCTCCCTGGTTCAAGTGATATTCCTGCCTCAGCCTCCAGAATAGCTGGGATTACAGGCACATGCCACCACACCAGCTTATTTTTGTATTTTTGGTAGAGACGGAGTTTCACCATGTTGGTCAGACTGGTCTTGAACACCTGACCTTGTGATCCACCTGCCTCGGCCTCCCAAAGTGCTGAGATTACTGGCATGAGCCACTGTGTCTGGCCAAGAATGTATTATTTTAAGAGATTTTTCACATAATGGTCAGTTTAGGATGAGTTTAACAATCTTATCTGAAGCAGTGTTTCTCAGGTTTATCCCAATCCTCATTCCCTGAATAGCCATTTATTGGGTGCTTTGTCATGTTCCAGTCAATAAACTACATGGTGGGCCTACAAAATTGAATAACTGACTAAGACATAATCTGTGCTGTTGGGGACCTCTTAGCCTGTGTTCAAGGGGAGACAGACAGATAAACAAGCATTTATTATCAGTGATAGGTGTTATGACAAAACCCAAAGTACCTCTGGGTCGCAAAGGAGGAAGTAAGTGATTATACTGAAGGGATTGGGAGGGACAGAAAAGCATCCTAGAGGCTGCTTATTGAAAGACAGATAGGAGACAGGTGCAGTGGCTCATGCTTGTAATCCCAACATTTTGGGAGGCAGAGGCAGGAGGATCAGTTGAGTCCATGAGTTCAAGACCAGCCTGGGTCACATAGGAATACTGACCCTGTCTCTATTAAAAAAAATACAAAGATTGGCCAGGCATGGTGGCTCACGCCTATAATCCCAGCACTTTGGGAGGCCGAGGTGGGCAGATGATGAGGTCAAGATTGAGACCATCCTGGCCAACATGGTGAAACCCCATCTCTACTAAAAACAAAATTAGCTGGGTGTGGCGGCATCCGCCTGTAGTCCCAGCTACTAGGAAGGCTGAGGCAGGAGAATTACTTGAACCCAGGAGGCGGAGATTGCAGTGAGCTGAGATTGCGCCACTATACTCCAGCCTGGCGCCTGGCAACAGAGAAGACTCTGTCTCAAAAAAAAAAAAAAAAAAAAAAAAAAGGAAGCCAGATATGGTGTCACATGCCTGCAGTCCCAGCTACTCAAGAGGCTGAGGTACTCGAGCCTGTAATCCCAGCACTTTGGGAGGCCGAGGCGGGTGGATCACGAGGTCGAGAGATCGAGACCATCCTGGTCAACATAGTGAAACCCCATCTCTACTAAAAATACAAAAAATTAGCTGGGCATGGTGGCACGTGCCTGTAATCCCAGCTACTCAGGAGGCTGAGGCAGGAGAATTGCCTGAACCCAGGAGGCGGAGGTTGCGGTGAGCCAAGATCGCGCCATTGCACTCCAGCCTGGGTAACAAGAGTGAAACTCCGTCTCAAAAAAAAAAAAAAAGAGGCTGAGGTAGAGGATTGCTTGAGCCAGGGAGGTTAGGTCTTTAGTGAACTATGATCACACCACTGCATTCTAGTCTGGGCAACAGAGCGAGACCCTGTCTCAAAAAAAAAAAAAAAAAAAGACAGGTGGAAAAGAATGTTCTGGGAAGAGGCAGAAGTCAGAGAAAGACAGAAGATATAAGAAGATGAGCCAGGTGCAGTGGCTTATACTTGTAATCCCAGCACTTTGGTAGGGCAAGGTGGGCGGATCATGAGGTCAGGAGTTTGAGACCAGCCTGTCCAATATGGTGAAACCCCGTTTCTACTAAAAAATACAAAAATTAGCCAGGCGTGGTGGTGCATGCCTGTAGTCCCAGCTACTCAGGAGGCTGAGGCAGGAGAATTGCTTGAACACAGGAGGCAAAGGCTGCAGTGAGCTGAGATCGTGCCATTGCCCTCCAGCCTGGGCAACAGTGAGACTCTGTCTCAAAAAAAAAAAAAAAAAAAAAGAAGATGGCACTTTTGGGAACCACAAATAGTTTGGTAGTGCTGAGACTTGGATTTTAAGGTGAGATTTGGGAAGAGTTGAAACCAGGGGCCAGATCTTGAAGAAACTTAAGTATCATATAAAGGATTTGGAGCTTTATCAGGAGAGAGGGTGTTCGAGGGATTTTAAAGAGGGAATCACATATTAACCTGGTGAGAATGTAGAAGATTAATTAGATGCAAGGATACTAGTCTAGAAATGATGAGGCCTGAATTAAGGCAAGTAGTAGTAGAGATAGAGACAGGAAAGATGGATAGTGTTAAAGTGATGCATCCAGCAGGATTTGGTGACTGACTATATGGAGTTGAGAAGAAGGAAAAAAAACAAATCTAGTGTAATTCCTAGATTTCTGCCTACAGTGTGCTGGGTAGTGCCCTTAACAGGGATGGAGAGTATAGGAAGAAGAGTAATTTGAGGATGGGTTGGAGAAGGAAGAGAGTTTAGTGGTTATTTTAGACTTAATGAATTCTACCAGAGTCCTCTGGGACTTCCCAATGTATTTATTCATTTAGCAGGTGGCTATGTCTGGGTGTGAAATTCAGAAGGGAGATCTGTGCTAGAGGTGTCACCGTGGAGGTAGATAGTCACTGATACAAAAAAGATTATTCAGGCAGTACTTTCAAGTAACAAGATGCAATAATTAGCACATAGGTTTATTATAGAAATTAAAGGATGGTAGGCCTGGCGCGGTGGCTGAAGCCTGTAATCCCAGCACTTTGGGAGGCCGAGGTGGGTGGATCACGAGGTCAAGAGATCGAGGAATCCTGGTCAACATTGTGAAACCCCGTCTCTACTAAAGGTGCAAAAAATTAGCTGGGCATGGTGGCGCGTGCCTGTAATCCCAGCTACTCAGGAGGCTGAGGCAGGAGAATTGCCTGAACCCGGAAGGCGGAGGTTGCGGTGAGCCGAGATCGCGCTATTGCACTCCAGCCTGGGTAACAAGAGCGAAACTCCGTCTCAAAAAAAAAAAAAAAAGAGGAAAAAAAAAAGAAATTAAAGGATGTTGATGTATCAGGTTATTTTATCTGAGCCCATAAATGTAGAGACATCTTGGAGAGAGCTGCATTATATAACCTCTAAGTGGTGCCTCTAGTCACTCTTAGTTACTCTGGATGTAGTTTCTCTCTTTTCTTCCACTAGGCTTTGCTCATGGCAATAGCTTGGTACCTTAAAAGATACTAAAATGAGCTGGGCGTGATGGCTCACACATGTAATCCTAGCACTTTGGGAGGCCGAGGCAGGTGGATCACTGGAGATCAGAGGTTTAAGACCAGCCTAGCCAACAATGTGAAATCTTGTCTGTACTAAAAATACAAAAATTAGCCGGGAGTGGTGGCACATGTATGTAGTCCCAGCTACTTGGGAGACTGAGGCAGGGGAATGCCTTGAACCTAGGAGTCAGAGGTTGCAGTGAGCCGAGATTGTGCAACTACACTTCAGCCTGGGCAACAGAACAAGACTCTGTCTCAAAAAAAAAAAAAAAAAAAGAGGCCGGGCGCGGTGGCTCAATCCTGTAATCCCAGCACTTTGGGAGGCCGAGGCGGGTGGATCACGAGGTCAAGAGATCAAGACCATCCTGGTCCACATGGTGAAACCCCGTCTCTACTAAAAATACAAAAAATTAGCTGGGCATGGTGGCGCGTGCCTGTAATCCCAGCCACTCAGGAGGCTGAGGCAGGAGAATTGCCTGAACCCAGGAGGCAGAGGTTGCAGTGAGCTGAGATCGCGCCATTGCACTCCAGCCTGGGTAACAAGAGTGAAACTCCATCTCAAAAAAAAAAAAACCAAAAAACAAAAACTACGCCCCCCCCCCCCACCCCCAGCAAAATACACATTTTCAAACAAGGGACATCAGCTTTTTAGTCAGTATGGTTCTTCCTGTCTCAAACTATCTGCTGGTATTGCTTTTTAGTCTTCTCAGGATAATTCCATAATATGAATTAATTGTGTACTTGAAGCAATACATGAGCATTTAGAGTTTTTTTTTTTTTTTTTTTTTGAGACAGAGTTTTGCTCTTCTTGCCTAGGCTGGAGTTCAGTGGCGTAATCTCAGTTCACAGCAACCTCTGCCTCCCGGGTTCAGTTGATTCTCCTGCCTCAGCCTCCCGAGTAGCTGAGATTATAGGCACCCACCACCACACCCAACTAATTTTTTGCATTTTTAGTAGAGATGGGGTTTTGCCATGTTGGCCAAGCTAGTGTCGAGCTCCTGACCTTAGGTGATCCATACACCATGACCTCCCAAAGTGTTGGGATTACAGGCATGAGCCGCCATGCCTGGCCCATTTAAATTTATGAAAGGAGTGGACATTTACTTTTATTGTTTCTTCTCAAAGTGAAAGTAACTCTTTGTAAATGTCCTAGAGAAATGTGGTAGCTTTCTGTTCACCCTTTGCAAGTAAAAAGCATGGATCGGGCCGGGCGCAGTGGCTCAAGCCTGTAATCCCAGCACTTTGGGAGGCCGAGGCGGGTGGATCACGAGGTCAAGAGATCGAGACCATCCTGGTCAACATGGTGAAACCCCGTCTCTACTAAAAATACAAAAAATTAGCTGGGCATGGTGGCACGTGCCTGTAATCGCAGCTACTCAGGAGGCTGAGGCAGGAGAATTGCCTGAACCCAGGAGGCGGAGGTTGCGGTGAGCCGAGATCGTGCCATTGCACTCCAGCCTGGGTAACAAGAGCGAAACTCCGTCTCAAAAAAAAAAAAAAAAAAAAAAATATGGATCGTTCCACTACTGACATTTAAAAAATAAATTTATGAAGGGAAAAATCTGGTGTAATACAATAGTAAGTCGTGGTGTAAATAAATAAGTAGCAAGAATTACTTTCTTTTGAGGTTAGGGGAGTTGTTGATTGATTTCCATGGTAGAAGCTGCTAAGCAATCCTGGGAAGTTTGGAGTTTAAATACAGTGGGAAACAAGTCAGAGTTATAATGTGTATTTATTTTATTTCTTTTGAGATAGATTAAAACAAATTTCTTAACCCCATGCTGTGAATATTAATTTTTTCATGATTTATGTAGTTTGTTTATCGATGGACACTTTTACAACAGGATATATGAAGCCGGGTCGGAGAACAACACGGCAGTTGTAGCAGTAGAAACGCACACGATACACAAAATTGAAGAAGGGATTGGTAAGGTTTTTGTTGTTGTTGTTGTTGTTGTTGTTGTTATTGTTATTCTAATACCTTTGACCTTAGCTTCCTTGGTCAAGTTTTCTTGCCATCTGTGCCTTATGTTTTTCTCCCATCCCAGTGTGCCCTTACCAGTACTACAGCCCTCAATTTGACAGTGGTACTTCTAGAGAAACCACTCACTAAGATTCTAGGGTCGTCAATTGGTTGGTTAACATCAGTTTGGAAGGGTAACTGAAAAGACTTTTTATGTATAAAAATCCCACATAGAGGCTGAGTGCAGTGGCTGACGCCTGAAATCCCAGCACTTTGGGAGGCTGAGGCAGGTGGATCACGAGGTCGCAAGTTCAAGACCCGCCTGACCAACATGGGGAAACCCCATCTCTACTAAAAATACAAAAATTAGCAGGTCTGGTGGCTCATACCTGTAATCCCAGCTACTTGGGAGGCTAAGGTAGGAGAATTGCTTGACCCGGGACTGGGAGGTGGAGACTGCAGTGAACTGAGATCACGCCACTGCACTCGAGCCTGGTCTACTGAGCAAGACTCCATCTCAAAAAAAAAAAAAAAAAATCCCACTTAGAAATTGGATCCTCAAAGTTGATCCCTGTCATTAAAGAAGTTGTTGGCCGGGCGCGGTGGCTCAAGCCTGTAATCCCAGCACTTTGGGAGGCCGAGGCGGGTGGATCACGAGGTCGAGAGATCGAGACCATCCTGGTCAACATGGTGAAACCCCGTCTCTACTAAAAATACAAAAAATTAGCTGGGCATGGTGGCACATGCCTGTAATCCCAGCTACTCAGGAGGCTGAGGCAGGAGAATTGCCTGAACCCAGGAGGCGGAGGTTGCCGGTGAGCCGAGATCGCGCCATTGCACTCCAGCCTGGGTAACGAGTGAAACTCCGTCTCAAAAAAAAAAAAAAGAAGTTGTTGATGATGACTGATGAGGTATTGACTAGAAGAAAACTAGAAAGAAACTTTGAAATTTAATAAAATTAAAAAAGAATTAAAAGAAAAAAAGAAACTTTGAAATTTAACAAACCTGAGTTTAAATCCCTATTCCTCACCTCTTAGTATGTCCTTAGGAAAGTCAGTTAGCCTTTTGGAGGCCCATATACTTATAATGAACACTTAAGAAACAATAAATAAATGAATTAATTAATTTTAAAAAAACCTATATTGGTCAAGGTGACTCATGCCTATAATCCCAGCACTTTGGGAGGCCGAGGTGGGTGGATCACTTGAGGTCAGAAGTTTGAGTATAGCCTGGCCAACATGGTGAAACCCCGAGTCTACTAAAAAATACAAAAAAAATTAGCTGGGTATGGTGGCGTGTGCCTGTAATCCTAGCTGTTCAGGAGGCTGAGGCAGGAGAATTGCCTGAACCCAGGAGGCGGAGGTTGCGGTGAGCTGAGATCGCGCCATTGCACTCCAGCCTGGGTAACAAGAGCGAAACTCCGTCTCAAAAAAAAAAAGAAAGTATGTAAAAGTGTATAGTATAGTGTCTGGCATACTGTGGGAGCTTGGAAAGAGATAGCTGTTCAGCCAAACTTCTTCCAGAGGATTCTTTTTTTTTTTTTTTTTGAGACGGAGTTTCACTCTTGTTACCCAGGCTGGAGTGCAATGGCGCGATCTCAGCTCACCGCAACCTCCGCCTCCTGGGTTCAGGCAATTCTCCTGCCTCAGCCTCCTGAGTAGCTGGGATTACAGGCACGCGCCACCATGCCCAGCTAATTTTTGTATTTTTAGTAGAGACAGGGTTTCACCATGTTGACCAGGATGGTCTCGATCTCTTGACCTTGTGATCCACCCGCCTCGGCCTCCCAAAGTGCTGGGATTACAGGCTTGAGCCACCGCGCCCGGCCCCAGAGGATTCTTAAACAATATCAGAAAGATTGTGAAGTATTAGTCCCTCAGAGGAACCAGGAGACTAGAGATTTTAAATGTAAGCTTTGGGGAAGAGTTGTTTGAAAAATAACCGATACTTTTTTTTCTGTTTTCAGATGCAGGTACTATAGAAGCAAATGAGGATATGGAAATTGCTTACCCCATAACTTGTGGGGAGAGCAAAGCCATCCTCCTCTGGAAGAAGTTTGTGTGTCCGGGAATAAACGTGAAGTGCGTCAAGGTAATCATCTTCTCCATGCTGAAGGCAATTTTGAGACTCCTTGTTTTTAAAGGGTGTGATTTCAATGCAACCTTTTTCTCTTCTACTATATCAGGGTTGTGTGTGTGTGTGTGTGTGTGTGTGTGTGTGTGTGTGTGTGTGGCTATTGTTCTAATGTATCACAATAGAAAAGAACTTTGGATTAGGTATGGTGGTTCATGCCTGTAATCCTAACCCTTTAGGAGACCAAAGTGGTGGGAAGATCACTTGAGCCCAGAAGTTCAGGACCAACCTGGGCAACATATTGAGACATTGTTCTCTTTTTTTTTTTTTTTTTTTTAAGACAGTGGCTTCATGTGTTGCCCAGGGTGGAGTGCAGTGACATGATCTTGGGTCACTGCAGCCTCAGCCTCCTGGGTTCAGGTGATTCTCCCACCTCAGCCTCCTGTGTAGCTGGGACCACAGGTGTGCACCACTGTGCCTGGCTAATTTTTTTGTAGACACAGGGTTTTCATGTGTTGCCTGGGCTGGAAAATGTTGCATCTTAAAAAAAAAAAATGGGCCGGGCGCGGTGGCTCAAGCCTGTAATCCCAGCACTTTGGGAGGCCGAGGCGGGTGGATCACGAGGTCGAAAGATCGAGACCATCCTGGTCAACATGGTGAAACCCCGTCTCTACTAAAAATACAAAAAACTAGCTGGGCGTGGTGGTGCATGCCTGTAATCCCAGCTACTTAGGAGGCTGAGGCAGGAGAATTGCCTGAGCCCAGGAGGCGGAGGTTGCAGTGAGCCGAGAACGCGCCATTGCACTCCAGCCTGGGTAACAAGAGTGAAACTCCGTCTCAAAAAAAAAAAAAAAAATGGCGGCCGGGCGCAGTGGCTCAAGCCTGTAATCCCAGCACTTTGGGAGGCTGAGGCGGGTGGATCATGAGGTCAAGAGATCGAGACCATTCTGGTCAACATGGTGAAACCCCGTCTCTACTAAAAATACAAAAAATTAGCTGGGCATGGTGGTGCCTGCCTGTAATCCCAGCTACTCAGGAGGCTGAGGTAGGATAATTGCCTGAACCCAGGAGGCAGAGGTTGCGGTGAGCCGAGATCGTGCCGTTGCACTCCAGCCTGGGTAATAACAGCGAAACTCCGTCTCAAAAGAAAAAAAAAAAAATTTGGCCAGGTGAGGTGGCTCATGCTTTTAATCCCAGCACTTACGGAAGCTGCAGTGGGTGGATCACCTGAGGTCAAGAGTTGAAGACCTGGGTAACATGGTGAAACTCCCTCTCTACTAAAAATACAAAATTTAGCCAGTCGTAGTGTCAGGTGCCTGTAGTCCCAGCTACTCTAGAGGCTGAGGTGTGAGAATCGCTTGAACCCAGGAGGTGGAGGTTGCAGTGAGCTGAGGTTGTGCTATTGCACTCCAGTGTGGGTGACAGAGTGAGACTCTGTCTCAATAAAAAGAAAAGAAAAGAATTATTAGATTGACTAGCCCCCCCCCAAAATTTATAAAAATATAATTGCAGGCCGGGCGCGGTGGCTCATGCCTGTAATCTGAGCACTTTGAGAGGCTGAGATGGGTGGATCATGAGGTTAGGAGATCAAGACCAGACCAGCCTGGCCAAGATGGTGAAACCCCGTCTCTACTAAAAATACAAAAAAATTAACCAGGCGTGGTGGTGGGCACCTGTAATCCCAGCTACTTGGGAGGCTGAGGCAGAGAATTGCTTGAATCCAGGAGGAAGAGGTTGTAGTGAACCGAGATCATACCACTGCACTCCAGCTGGGTGACAGCAAGACTCTGTCTCAAAAAAAAAAAAAAAAAATAAAAATAAAATATATATATATATATATATATATATAAAATTGCTCATTCTGTCTTCATTGAGGCTGGATAGATTACTTCAGTTTATTTGAACAGAGTTTGTTTGCCTCACTAGACCCAACCACCTGATTTTATGCATAAATGGATTTTAGATAGTTATTAATATATTTATCTGTGATCCTCAACATGTATTCTGTGGCTTTGTACCAAGAATGGAGACTGTGCTCAGAGAAGGATCATCTTCTCTAACACAATAGTACAGGAAGTTGGATAATGCAAGGCTTAGGATGTCATCTAGGTATTTTTTGTATAAACGATGTAGGGTTATATTATTTCCCCTCTTGGCCTGCCCAAGTTGACATTAGACTGTTTTGGAATTTTCTTTTTCCTTTTAGTTCAATGATCAGTTGATCAGTCCCAAGCATTTTGTTCATCTGGCTGGCAAGTCTACTCTGAAGGACTGGAAGAGAGCTATTCGTCTGGGTGGGATCATGCTCAGGTAAGCTCTACTGTCAAGCACATACCTTTTAATAAACTTCGGTGTACTTAATCATGGTAGAATCTGGGTTTTTCTCTTTAGGTTGACATTTTTATTCTGTCTGAAGAATTGGCTTGAGTAATCCATGCATTATTTGATTTTAATCATCTTGTTCTTAAGAATCTTGGGAGGGAAGAAAGATTATTTTGTTTTGTTTTGAAACAGAGACTAGCTCTATACCTAGGCTGGAGTGCAGTGGTGCATTCTTGGCTCACTGCAACCTCTGCCTCCCGTGTTCAAGCAATTCTCCTGCCTCAGTCTCCCAAGTAGCTGGGATTACAGGTGCATGCTACCACATCTGGCCAATTTTTTTTTTTTTTTTTTTTTTTTTTTGAGACGGAGTTTCGCTCTTGTTACCCAGGCTGGAGTGCAATGGCGCGATCTCGGCTCACCGCAACCTCCGCCTCCTGGGTTCAGGCAATTCTCCTGCCTCAGCCTCCTGAGTAGCTGGGATTACAGGCATGCGCCACCAAACCCAGCTAATTTTTTGTATTTTTAGTAGAGATGGGGTTTCACCATGTTGACCAGGATGGTCTCGATCTCTTAACCTCGTGATCCACCCGCCTCGGCCTCCCAAAGTGCTGGGATTACAGGCTTGAGCCACCACGCTCGGCCCAATTTTTGTATTTTTGTTAGAGACGGGGTTTCACCATGTTGGCCAGGCTGGTGTTGGACTCCTGATCCACCCACCTTGGCCTCCCAAAGTACTGGGATTGCAGGGATGAGCCACCTTGCCCGGCTATTTAATTATTTTTAGGAGGGTAAAAAAAAGAATAAAATTTTAAAGAAGAAAGAAAAAATAAATAAAAATTAAAATAGTTCTTTTTTAGGAATCTCTTTCAAGAAAAATTCATAATGCTGTAGAGATTCAAGCATAAAGATGTTTATTACAGACCAGGTGCAGTGGCTTATGCCTGTAATCCCAGCAATTTGGGAGGCCGAGGCAGGCAGATCACCTGAGGTCGGGAGTTTGAGACCAGCCTGACCAACGTGGAAAAACCCCGTCTCTACTCAAAATACAAAATTAGCCGGGCATGGTAGTGCATGCCCTGTAATCCCAGCTACTCGGGAGGCTGAGGCAGGAGAATTGCTTGAATGGAGGTTGCAGTGAGTTGACATCGAGCCAAAATTGGCTGGGCATGGTGACTCATGCCTGTAATCTCAGCACTTTGGGAGGCCGAGGCGGGTGGATCACCTGAGGTCAGGAGTTCGAGACCAGCCTGGCCAACATGGTAAAACTCCATCTCTATTAAAAAAAAGAATTACCGCCGGGCGCGGTGGCTCAAGCCTGTAATCCCAGCACTTTGGGAGGCCGAGGCGGGTGGATCACGAGGTCGAGAGATCGAGACCATCCTGATCAACATGGTGAAACCCCGTCTCTACTAAAAGTGCAAAAAATTAGCTGGGCATGGTGGCACGTGCCTGTAATCCCAGCTACTCAGGAGGCTGAGGCAGGAGAATTGCCTGAGCCCAGGAGGCAGAGATTGCGGTGAGCCGAGATCGTGCCATTGCACATTGCACTCCAGCCTGGGTAACAAGGGCGAAACTCCGTCTCAAAAAAAAAAAAAAAAAAAAAAAAAAAAATTACCAGGCACGGTGCCTCACACCTGTAATCCCAGCAATTTGGAAGGCTGAGGTGGGCCAGTCACCTGAGGTCAGGAGTTTGAGGCCAGCCTGACCAACCTGTAGAAACCCCATCTCTACTAAAAATACAAAATTAGCCAGGTGTGGTGGCACGTGGCTATAATCCCAGTTAACTCGGTAGGCTGAGACAGGAGAATCGCTTGAACCTGGGAGGTGGAGGTTGTGGTAAGCTAAGATGGAGCCATTGCACTCCAGCCTGGGCAACAAGAGCTAAACTCCATCTGAAAACAAAAGTAGACAAAAGAAAGCTCATGTTTTGTCACTCAGGCTGGAGTGCGGTGGCATGATCATGGCTTATTGCCCACTGCAGCCTCAAACTCCTGAGCTCAAGCAGTCCTCCAGAGTAGCTTGGACTACAGGTGTGTGCCACTATGCCCAGCTGAAAATGCGAAATATTTTCTTCATTTTTTTTTTTTTTTCTCTTGAGATAGAGTTTCCTTCTTTTTGCCCAGGCTGGAGTGCAGTGGTGAGATCTCATTTCACCAAAGTCTCTGCCTCCCAGGTTCAAGCCATTTTCCTGCCTCAGCCTCCTGAGTAGCTGGGACTACAGACATGTACAACCACACCTGGCTAATTTTGTGTTTTTAGTAGAGACAGGATTTCTTCATATTGGTCAGGCTGGTCTTGAACTCCCGACCTCAGGTGATCTGCCTTCCTCAGCCTCCCAAAGTGCTGGGATTACAGGTCAGGAGTTTGAGCCACTGCGTCTGGCCTTTCACATCATTTCTTTTCTTTTCTTTTCTTTTTTTTTTTTTTGAGACGGAGTTTCACTCTTGTTACCCAGGCTGGAGTGGTGCAATGGCTCACAACCTCTGCCTCCTGGGTTCAGGCAATTCTCCTGCCTCAGCCTCCTGAGTAGCTGGTATTACAGGCACGCACCACCATGCCCAGCTAATTTTTTTTGTATTTTAGTAGAGACGGGGTTTCATCATGTTGACCAGGATGGTCTCGATCTCTTGGCCTCGTGATCCACCTGCCTCGGCCTCCCAAAGTGCTGGGATTACAGGCTTGAGCCACTGCGCCCGGCTCACATCATTTTTATAGTCAGAGACACACAGACATTATTGGTATTCTTTTTTTTTTTTTTTTTGAGACGGAGTTTCGCTCTTGTTACCCAGGCTGGAGTGCAATGGCGCGATCTCGGCTCACCGCAACCTCCGCCTCCTGGGTTCAGGCAATTCTCCTCCCTCAGCCTCCGGAGTAGCTGGGATTACAGGCACGCACCACCATGCCCAGCTAATTTTTTGCACCTTTAGTAGAGACGGGGTTTCACCATGTTGACCAGGATGGTCTCGATCTCTTGACCTCGTGATCCACCCGCCTCGGCCTCCCAAAGTGCTGGGATTACAGGCTTGAGCCACCGCGCCCGGCGGTATTCTTTTTTTTTTATTTGGAAATTTTTAAAATTATTTTACTCCTATGCTTCCATTGAAACATTATTTTTAAACATTTTTTTCAGTTGATTAGTATGCAGAAATTAGTTCATTGAATTTGGGAATACTTTATTTTTATTTTTATTGTTTATTTAGTTATTTTTGAGACTGGGTCTAACTCTGACTCCCAGTTTGGAGTGCGGTGGCACGATCTTGGCTTACTGAAAACTCAGTTTCCCAGGCTCAAGCGATTCTTTAGCTTTAGCCTCTCAATTAGCTGAGACTAGAGGCATGAGCCACCATGCCTGTCTGATTTTTGTATTCTCTATAGAAGTGGGGTTTCACCATGTTGTTGCCCACACTGGTCTCAAACTCCTAAGTTCAAATGATCCTCCTGCCTTGGCCTCCCAAAGTGCAGGCATGAGCCACTGCGCCTGGCTGAGGAATACTTTTAACTTTGAGTTTTGTTGTTCTTGGCGGGTTTAATTTAGCCAGAAAGACAAGCATATGCCAATTTACTGCAAATGTAAAAAAGAGTCAGAATTCTAAAAAATTTTTAGTGAAAGCCAAGTGACATTATAACATAGAATTTACTATAATTAAAATACCCCATGGTTTTGTTCATGACCTAAATTAACATTTTATGGATCCAATTATAAGGGCATTTTCCAGAGTGGATTTAGTATAGTCAACTTTTTTCTCTATTCCTAGGAGATTTTTTTTTTCTTTTTTTTTTTTTCTCTAGATGCTCTGAATCAGCATCCTAGGAGAGCTTTTTAAAAGACTAAAGCTTGGCTGGGTGCGGTGGCTCAAGCCTGTAATCCCAGCACTTTGGGAGGCCGAGGCGGGTGGATCACGAGGTCGAGAGATCGAGACCATCCTGGTCAACATGGTGAAACCCCGTCTCTGCTAAAAATACAAAAAATTAGCTGGGCATGGTGGCACATGCCTGTAATCCCAGCTACTCAGGAGGCTGAGGCAGGAGAATTGCCTGAACCCAGGAGGCGGAGGTTGCGGTGAGCCGAGATCGCGCCATTGCACTCCAGCCTGGGTAACAAGAGCGAAACTCCGTCTCAAAAAAAAAAAAAACAAAAAAACAAACAAACAAACAAAAAAGACTAAAGCTTTATGTCTGTGAAAGTCACAACAGATCTTGCTGGTCTAGGAATACTGATTCATCAGAAGCTTATCAAAATTCGAATTTCTCTGTGGCATTTCTCAGTTGTGCTGAGATTGATTTGGTTTCAGTGAGATTCTATGGAGCAACTTAGCTATTGTCAGGAGGATATACCTGCACCCTAGTGATAACTGGAAATAGAAGAGAATATTCATAATGAATAAACTAGGGAGGGAAGAGAAATACTGATAAATGATGGGCAGGACCAGTGAAAATTTAAAGCCTCACTTAGAATTTTTGCAACCTAATAACTTCTGACACTATTGGGTTTCACTAATCTATACGGTAAACTCAGCAATGTCGTTCCTATTTTTCCCTGAGGCCTGGTTTCCACCAGATGAAGTATGGCTGAACTGGTACTTTTTGTCTCCCTTTGCACAGGAAAATGATGGACTCCGGACAGATTGATTTTTACCAACATGACAAAGTTTGCTCCAATACCTGCAGAAGCACCAAATTTGATCTTCTGATCAGCAGTGCAAGAGCTCCAGTGCCGGGACAGCAGACAAGTGTGGTGCAGACACCCACTTCGGCTGATGGTAGGGGGTAGGAAACCACCTGAAAACCCACTGTGTTTTTCAGCAGAACTTCCCCCTTATTTCTCCCTTGTATATTCTTTCCCTCTTTTTTTTTTTTTTTTTTTTTTGAGATGAAGTCTCGCTTTTTTGCCCAGGCTGGAGTGCAGTGGCACAGTCTTGGCTGACTGCAACCTCCATCTCCTGGGTTCAAGCAGTTCTCCTGCTTCAGCTTTCTGAGTAGCTGGGATTACAGGTGCCTGCTACCATGCTAATTTTTGTATTTTTAGTAGAGATGGGGTTTCACCATGTTGGTCACGCTGGTCTTGAACTCCTGACCTCGCAATCTTCCTGCCTTGGCCTCCCAAAGTGCTGGGATTATAGGTGTGAGCCACTGGGCCCAGCCTTTCCCTTGTATATTCTTAATTTCAATTCTCATGAACATTGATGAGTCTTGTTGTAAAGTATGGTAATCTTGGATGGGATTCCATGCCTTGGAAACATGCTTTGTTTTCTTCCAAATGATACCTATTGGCCAGACCTCCTTCTTTGTTTTTTTCTTACAATGCATAGAAAGGTAGTTCAGCCAGGCATGGTGGCTTACACCTGTAATCCCAGCACTTTGGAAGGTCGAGGTGGGCGGATCACCTGAGGTTGGAAGTTCGAGACCAGACTGACCAACATGGGGAAACCCTGTCTCTACTAAAAAAATACAAAATTAGCTGGACGTGGTGGTGCATGCCTGTAATTCCAGATACTACTCAGGTGGCTGAGGCAGGAGAATTGCTTGAACTCAGGAAGTGGAGGTTGCATTGAGTTGAGCTTGTGCCATTGCACTCTCCAGCCTAGGCAACAAAAGCAAAGCTCTGTCTCAAAAAAAAAAAAAAAAAAAAAAAAAGAGAAAAAGAAAGAAAGTTAGTTCAGTAGAGTTATAATACTTATATAAGAGTTTCACTTTGCTATCACTTGGGATATTAAGGTTGAATTAGGCTGATTTGAGAAATGCTTTGCAGGTTGGGCCCGTTGGCTCACACCTGTAATCCCAGCACTTTGGAAGGCCAAGGCGAGTGGATCATGAGGTCAAGAGTTCAAGACCAGCCTGACCAACATGGTGAAACCCTGTCTCTACTAAAAATACAAAAGTTAGGCTGTGTGCTGTGGCGTATACCTGTAATCCCAGCACTTGGGGAGGTCGAAGCAGGTGGATCACAAGGTCAAGAGTGCAAGATCAGCCCGGCCAAGATGGTGAAACCGCAACTCTACTAAAAATGCAAAAATTAACCAGGCATGGTGGCAGGTGCCTGTAATCCCAGCTACTCAGGAAGCTGAGGTAGAGAATTGCTTCAACCTGGGAGGCGGAGGTTGCAGTGAGCCAGGTTCATGCCACTGCACTTCAGCCTGGGTGACAGAGGGAGACTTCCTCTCAAAAAAAAAAAGAAAAAGAAAAAAGCTTTGCAGCTGGGTGTGGTGGCCTACACCTGTAATCTCAGTACTTTGGAAGGGTGAGGTGGGCGGATCACCTGAGGTCAGGAGTTTGAGACTAGGCTGGCCAACATGATGAAACACCATCTCTACTAAAAAGACAAAATTTAGGCCAAGGCTTGGTGGCTCACGCCTGTAATCCCAACACTTTGGGAAGCTGAGGCATGTAGATCATGAGGTCAAGAGATGGAGACCATCCTGGATGGTGAAACCCCATCTCTACTAAAAATACAAAAAATTAGCCAGGTGTGGTGGCACACACCTGTAGTCCCAGACTTGTGCTTTACTAGTAGTAAAGTAAAATGCTGTGCTTTACTAGTAGTCAACACAAAAAGGTAGATTAGAAGATTAGAATGATGAGTGGTTTTCTTTTTTTTTCTTTTTTTGAGTTGGGAGTCTCACTCTGTCGTCCAGGCTGGAGTGCAGTGCAGTGCAGTGGCACGATCTCAGCTCACTGCAAACTCCACCTCTTGGGTTCAAGCTGTTCTCCTGCCTCAGCCTCCCTAGTAGCTGGGATTACAAGTGCCCGCCACCACACCCTGATAATTTTTGTATTTTTAGTAGAGATGGGGTTTCACCATATTGGCCAGGCTGGTCTCGAACTCCCAACCTCATAATCCACCCACCTTAGCCTTCTAAAGTACTGGGATTACAGGCATGAGCCACCATGCCTGACTCTGATGAGTGGTTTTCAACCATTAAACTGAGGTGTATCAAAGATAATGTTATCATTGGCTGGACTAGACTATGGACACCTCACTGAAAGGATCAGAGTTCTCTGCTTGAGAGGTCTCCAGATTACCAAGTTGAGGCTTCCCACAGATGAAATAGGATGAGCACATAGTTAACTTCAGTATTGTTGAGTTTGGGACTAGGGCTGCTTACCATCCAGGGAAGATGTAACTGTAAGATTATTATTAAAGATGCAGTTAATCCAGCTTGATATAATTGGATAAAATATATCTTGCCAGGCGCGGTGGCTCAAGCCTGTAATCCCAGCACTTTAGGAGGCTGAGGCGGGTGGATCACGAGGTCAAGAGATCGAGACCATCCTGGTCAACGTGGTGAAACCCCGTCTCTACTAAAAGTACAAAAAATTAGCTGGGCATGGTGGTACGTGCCTGTAATCCCAGCTACTCAGGAGGCTGAGGCAGGAGAACTGCCTGAACCCAGGAGGCGGAGGTTGCAGTGAGCTGAGATTGCGCCATTGCACTCCAGCCTGGGTAACAAGAGCGAAACTCTGTCTCAAAAAAAATATATATATATATCTCAACTACCGTCATAAGAATTAAAAATATGCCTCAGAAAAGTCACAAGAGTCGGCTGGGCGCGGTGGTTCAAGCCTGTAATCCCAGCACTTTGGGAGGCCGAGGCAGGTGGATCACGAGGTCGAGAGATCAAGACCATCCTGGCCAACATGGTGAAACCCCGTCTCTACTAAAAATACTAAAAATTAGTTGGGCATGGTGGCGCATGCCTGTAATCCCAGCTACTCGGGAGGCTGAGGCAGGAGAATTGCCTGAACCCAGGAGGCGGAGGTTGCGGTGAGCCGAGATCGCACCATTGCGCAACTCGTCTCAAAAAAAAGAGCGAAACTCCGTCTCAAAAAAAAAAAAAAAAAAAGAAAAGTCACAAGAATGCTAAAGGATCTAAAAGGTTAGGGATGTACACTGTGTTTTTAAATTGACCCTTTTTTTTTGAGATGGAGTCTTGCTTTATCACCCAGGCTAAATTGCAATGGCACTGTCTTAGCTCACTGCAACCTCTGCCTCCAGGGTTCAAGTGATTCTTCTGCCTCAGCCTCTTGTGTATCTGGCAAGTGCCTGCCACCACGCCCGGCTAATTTTTGTATTTTTAGTAGAGATGTGGTTTCACCACACTGGCCAGACTGTTGTTAAACTTCTGATCTTGTGATCCACTCACTTTGTCCTCCCAAAGTGCTGGGATTACAGGAATGACCCACTGCACCTGGCCTTTTTTTGTTTGTTTTAGACAGAGTTTCACTTTGTCACCCAGGCTGGAGTGCAATGGCAGGATTTTGGCTTACTGCAATCTCCACCTCCCAGGTTCAAGTAGTTCTCCTGCCTCAGCCTCCCGAGTAGCTGAAATTACTAATTTTTTGTATTTTTAGTAGGGATGGGGTTTCACCATGTTGGCCAGGCTGGCCTCAAACTCCTGACCTCAGGTGATCCACCCGCCTCAGCCTCCCAAAGTGCTGAGATTACAAGCGTAAGCCACCATGTCTGGCCTTTTTTTTTTTTTTCTTTCCCCTCACTATGTCTTATGGTGCTGGAAGAATGACCTCTTAATGGCTGGGCATGGTGGCTCATACCTCTAATCCCAGCACTTTGGGAAGTCAAGGCAGGAGGATTGCTTGAGCCCAGAAGTTCAACACCAGCCTGGGCATCATGGCAAAAATCCATCTCTGCAAAAAATAAAAATATTAGATGGGCATAGGGGTGTGCACCTGTGGTCCCAACTACTAGGGAAACTAAGGTAGGAAGATCACTTAGACAGTGAGCTGTGATTATGTCACTGCACTCCAACCTAGGTGACAGGAGCGAAAGCCTGTCTCAAAAAAATAAAGATCTTTTGGTCGGTTCTAATATTCTATACGTAACCAGTGGCTGAGTAGAAGCCAAATCCCTTGAAACCTAAATCCGTTTCAGGAAGGTATAAAATATCTGGCAGTTTGAATATTTGGACATTTGACTCTTTCACTTGAAAAGTGAAAAATACTGTGAAATGCTATTTACAGTTGGCCGTTGAATAACATGGATTTCATCCGCAGGGGTCCATTTATATACATCGCTTCTTTTTCAGCCAGTCGTGGATTGAAAATACAATATTTGCAGGATGCAAATCTTGGGTCTGTGAAGGGTTGACTTTTACTTTTTGACTTCAGCACTTCAGCATGTACAGATTTGGTTAGATACACAGGTGGTCCAGGAATCAATCCCCCATGTATACTGAGGGACAATTGTACTTCCTTTTTATTTGGCCAAAACTCCTTTACTTGATTATCTTTTACTTGATTATTGATATCCTCCAGTGTGTAGAGTTCATAGTTATCTGTATTGCTGTTTGGATCAATTTGGTTTTTCTCGATTCTCTTTGTTTAAAAGCTTTTTTTGTTTGTTTGTTTGTTTTTTTATTTTTTTGAGACGGAGTTTCGCTCTTGTTACCCAGGCTGGAGTGCAATGGCGCGATCTCGGCTCACCGCAACCTCCGTATCCTGGGTTCAGGCAATTCTCCTGCCTCAGCCTCCTGAGTAGCTGGGATTACAGGCACGTGCCACCGCGCCCAGCTAATTTTTTGTATTTTTAGTAGAGACGGGGTTTCACCATGTTGACCAGGATGGTCTCGATCTCTCGACCTCGTGATCCACCCGCCTCAGCCTCCCAAAGTGCTGGGATTACAAGCTTGAGCCACTGTGCCCGGCTGGCTTTTTTTTTTTTTTTTTTAGACAAGGTCTCACTCTGTCACCCAGACTGGAGTACAGTGACATAATCACAGTTTACTGTAGCCTTAAGCCCCTGGGCTCAGGTGATCCTCCCACCTTAGCCTCCCGAGTAGCTGTAACTATAGATGTGCACCACCACACCCAGCTAATTTTTGTAGAAACTCGGTTTTGCCGTGTTGTCCAGGCTGGTCTCAAACTTCTGGGCTCAAGTGATCTGCCCACCTTAGCCTCCCAAAGTGCTAGGATTGTAGGCATGAGCTACCGTGCCCAGTCAAAATCTTAATATACAAGTAATAGCAAAGGGTATTTTTTCCCCTCTGAATCTGCTGTAATTGGGACTAGAGGCACGCGCCACCATGCCCAGCTAATTTTGTATTTTTAGTAGAGACAGGGTTTCACCTGTTTTGGCCAAAGTGGTCTCCATCTCTTGACCTTGTGATCCACCTGTCTGGGCCTCTCAAAGTGCTAGGATTACAGGCATAAGCCACTGTGCCTGACCATGAATCTATTTTTTTTTTTTTTTTTTTTTTTTGAGATGGAGTCTCGTTCTATTGTCCAGGCTAGAGTGCAGTGGTAAGATCTTGGCTCATTGCAACCTCCACCTCCTGGGTTCAGGTGATTCTTCTGCCTCAGCCTCTCGAGTAGCTAGGACTACAGGTGCGTGCCACCATGCCTGGCTAATTTTTTTTTATTTTTAGTAGAGACGGGGTTTCACCATGTTGGCCAGACTGGTCTCGAACTCCTGACCTCGTGATCTGCCCCCGTTGGCCTCCCAAATACCATGAATCTCTTACCTGATTTTTATGGTCTCTCTTTCTTTTAATTTCTTTGTATAGGCTAATAACTAAGTTAGATGCTTAGTCTCAAACTTGTTTGTAGTAGAGCTCTTGGCAGAGCATTTTACCTTTCTCTTAAATTATTTCAAGCTTTTTTTACCCTCAGTAAATCTGGGGCAGGCAGCCTAGTAGTAATGCCTACCTTCAGTCTCTTTCAAAAACATATCTACTCAGGAAACACATTGCTCTTTTGTGATTTGATAAATTATTTTTCACTTTCTATTCAAAGTAAGAAAGCATTTTTTTTTTTTTTTTTGCAAGGCAGGTTTTCTTTAGAAATTTCAGTATTCATCCTGGCTTACCTAAGAGTCTAGTTTTTAAAATAGGAACCTGTAGCCAAGAAGCTAGAATGTTAAAATAACAAGGTCTCTGTAGATGTTGAGTATGAGATATAGGATAGCTATAACTTTTTCGTTAAATTCACTGTTCTCACCTCTACTGAATTGCTTTTAGGTAGCATCACACAGATTGCCATCTCAGAAGAGAGCATGGAAGAGGCAGGGCTGGAATGGAACTCAGCTCTCACTGCTGCTGTCACCATGGCCACGGAGGAGGGTATAAAGAAGGACTCAGAGGAAATTTCAGGTATTTTTCTTTAGGGCTCCAATATCTTGCAGGGTCTTGTGACCCTTATCACCATTATGATTATGGATACGGAAGACCTCTTAATGACTTTCTCTGGATTTTTTCATGCATGCAAATACTAACCATAGCTACAAACATCCTACTTTAATCCATGCAGTAGCCTTGTATAGTCACATTTTACACACAAATCAGGATTCAGAAAGGTTTAGCAACTTGCCTAAGATCAGTTAGAACCAACACTTGTTAGAGCTGAATTTATCTGTTTGACTGCATAGTCTATGCTTTTCATCCGATCAGACTGCCTCCAACTTTGGCACCCTCTTGGATAAACTAAGCTTTGAGATCTTAGAAGGAAAAAATAGGTGGCAAGTGTTGTAGAGCATGGCGATTAATGATGATTCACTTAGAGGGGACCAGAAGCTTCACATCACCCTCTGTTTATTAATTCATTCATTAAGTATTTATTATTGCCTATTTTTAGTTGGTACTGTTTTAAGATGCTAGGTATGTACATGAAAAAACATAGCCACCACCCTCAGAGAGCTTATAGCCCTACCTATCCAACTGTTTTGTTTTGTTTTCTTAAGTATAGGGCTAGGGAGTACATCTTAATTAATATTTAATTTAATATCTTTATTATTTAAATTTTAGAATATTAAATATCTCTTGTTTTTTTTGAGACGGAGTTTCACTCTTGTTGTCTAGGCTGGAGTGCAGTGGCACAATCTTGGTTTACCGCAACCTCTGCCTCCCAGGTTCAAGTGATACTCCTGCCTTAGCCTCCCGAGTAGCTGGGATTATAGCCATGCGCCACCATGCCCAGCTAGTTTTTTGTATTTCTAGTAGAGACGAGGTTTCACCATGTTGGCCAGGCTGGTCTTGAACTCCCGGCCTCAGGTGATTGACCTACCTCAGTCTCCCAAAGTGCTGGGATTACAGGCGTGAGCCACCGCGCCCAGCCTAAATGTCTCATTTTTAAATTAAATTAAAATTAAATAATATTTAATGTTAAATATTTCATGTTTAATACTAACATGTTTAATAGTTAATTTAATTAATATCTTTATTGGAGGAAGATAACTATTCTTTGTAGCGAGAACTATGATAAATTGAGGCAATTATTCCAAGCAGCTATGCTGCTGAAGGGGCTAAATGATTAGGTGCCAACTTAGGGAAGCATCTTGTATTTCAAAGCTTCTTCCCTTTTTTCAGGAATGGCCAAACAAGAAATCCTTTTGAATTAAATAATTTTGAATTTAACATTGTAGAGATTTGCCTAAATATCTATGTAGCATGTCTTGTTTACCCTCTGTCTTATTCTTGTGACAGAGGACACTTTGATGTTCTGGAAAGGAATAGCTGATGTAGGGCTGATGGAAGAGGTTGTCTGCAATATACAGAAGGAAATAGAGGAGCTACTCAGGGGAGTTCAGCAGCGGCTCATCCAGGCTCCTTTTCAGGTCACAGGTAAGTGCACTACTCCTAATATTAGTAGTCATGTATTGAATACTCACCTCTGTAGGCAGGTCCTATAAGCCTTGCAAAAACCCTCATGTGTAGCTATTATTATCTTAATTTTACAGATAAGGAAACTAAAGTTCATGTAAGTTAAGTCACTTGTCCAAGGTTCATAACTAGGTTTTGAATTCAGATCTGGCCATGCTTTTCCACAGGTAATTTTTGCCTTTATAAATGGTGCCAGTAGTCTGGGCAATATAGTGAGATGCTATCTGTACAAAAAACTTTTTTTTTTTTTTGAGATGGAGTTTCGCTCTTGTTACCCAGGCTGGAGTGCAATGGCGCGATCCCAGCTCACCGCAACCTCCACCTCCTGGGTTCAAGCAATTCTTCTGCCTCAGCCTCCCAAGTAGCTGGGACTACAGGCGTACACCACCATGCCCAGCTAATTTTTTTTATATTTTTAGTAGAGACGGGGTTTCACCATGTTGACCAGGATGGTCTTGATCTCTTGACCTCATGGTCCACCCACCTTGGCCTCCCAAAGTATTGGGATTATAGGCAGTAAGCCACTGCACCTGGCCTTTTTTTTTTTTTTTGGAGATGGAGTCTTGCTCTGTCGCCTAGGCTGGCATGCAGTGGCGTGACCTCAGCTCACTGCAACCTCCACCTCCTGGGTTTTAAACAATTTTCTCTACCTCAGCCTCCCGAGTAACTGGGATTACTCGGCACCTGCCATCATGCCCAGCTAATTTTTGTATTTTTAGTAGAGATGGGGTTTCACCATGTTGACCAAGCTGATCTTGAGCTTCTTACCTCAGGTGATCCACCCATCTCAGCCTCCCAAAGTGCTGGGATTACAGGCATGAGCCACCGTGCCATGCTGGGGCTACAAAAAACTTTTTAAAATTTAGTGGGGTGTGCTTGGTAGTGGGTGCCTGTAGTCCCAGCTCTTGGGAGGCTAAGGCTTGGGAGAATCACTTGAATCCGGCAGTTCAGTGCTTCAGGGAGCTATGATCATACCACTGTAAAAAACAGGCCACGTGGGGCAGCTCATACTTGTAATTCTAGTACATTAGGAGGCTGAGATGGGTGGATTATTTGAGGTTAGGAGTTCAAGACCAGTCTGGCCAATTGAGTAAAACCCTGTCTCTATCAAAAATTTTAAAAAAATTAAAAAAACAAATTAGCTGGGTGTGGTGCATGTTTGTAATCCAAGCTACTTGAGAGGTTTGAGGCACAAAAATCACCACAGGAGGCAGAGGTTGCAGTGAGCCAAGATCGCACCGTTACACTCCAGTCTGGGTGACAGAGCAAGACTGCATCTCAAAAAAAAAAAAAAAGGTGACAGAAAGCATTCTCTCTCTCTCTCTCTCTCTCTCTCTCTCTTTCTCTCTCTCTCTCTCTTTCTCTTGATATATGTATTTTCTCTCTCTCTCTTTTTTTTTAGTGAGACAGAGTTTCACTCAGTCACCCAGGCTGGATTGTAGTGGTGTGATGTCAGCTCACTGCAACCTCCGTCTCCTGAGTTCAAGCAATTCTACTGCCTCAGCCTCCCAAGTAGCTGGGATTACAGGTGCATGCCCCCATGCCTGGCTAATTTTTTGTATTATTATTACTATTATTTTTAATTTCACGGATCATAGGAAACAAGTATTTTATTAGAGATGGGGTTTCATCATGTTGACCAGACTGGTCTTCAACTCCTGACCTCAGGTGATCCACCCGCCTCGGCCTTCGAAAGTGCTGAAATTACAGGTATAAGCCACCATGCCCAGCTGATATATGTATTTTCAGACTCTCTCTCTTTATACTCATTATGTGTGTATGTACACTATGTGTATGTATAGAGAAAGAGAGAGTCTGAAAATTGGAGAAATCCACTTGCTTTTAGATTATTCTCATATCCTATTAATTTAAGGCTTTGTGAACTTATATGTTCACATATCTGTTTCTGAATACTTTCAGGGTGCTGATGTGCAGATGTGAAAGGATGTTCTAATCTGATAGAAATGGGGTTATGGGCTGGGCGCCGTGGCTCACACCTGTAATCCCAGCACTTTGCGAGGCTGAGGAGGGTGGGTCACCTGAGGTCAGGAGTTGAAGACCAGTCTGGTCAACATGGTGAAACCCTGTCTACAAAAATACAAAAAGTAACCAGGCATGATGGCGGGTGCCTGTAATCCCAGCTACTCAGGAGGCTGAGGCAGGAGAATTGCTTAAATCCAGGAGGTAGAGGTTGCAGTGAGCTGAGAACATGCCATTGCACTTTAGCCTGGGCGACAGAATAAGGCTCCATCTCAAAAAACAAAACAACAAAAAAGAAGTGGGGTTATGATGAGACCTTTTGTGTTTAGTGAATTCTTGTTAGTCATTTCTTGTTACTTCTTTATAACCCATAACTTATATACCATACACTTAAACAACCTTGACTGCAGAATATTTATTTATTTCTTGAGACAGAGATTCTCTCTTATTGCCTAGGGTGGAGTGCAATGGTGCAATCTTGGCTCACTGCAACCTCAACCTCCTGGGTTTAAGTGATTCTCCTGCCTCAGCCTTTCAGGTAGCTGGGATTACAGGTACATGCCACCTAATTTTGCCCAGCTAATTTTGTATTTTTAGTAGAGACTGGGTTTCTCCATGTTGGTCAGGCTGGTGTCAAACTCCCAATCTCAGGTGATCTGCCCACTTGGGCCTCCCAAAGTGCTGGGATTACAGATGTGAGCCACCGTGCCCAGCTGACAGCAGAATCTTTTTAAACATTTAAAATGACTTATGCTTGGAGTACAAACCAAAAAACCACAAATAATATAGAAAGTGGCCAGGCGCGGTGGTTGATGCCTGTAATCCCAGCACTTTGAGAGGTCAAGGTGGGCAGGTCACAAGGTCAGGTTTTCAAGCCCAGCCTGGCTAACATGGTGAAACCTCGTCTCTACTAGAAAAAAATAAAAAAATTAGCCAGGCATGGTGGCATGTGCCTACAGTCCCACCTACTCAGGAGGCTAAGGCAGGAGAACTGCTTGAATCTGGGTGGTAGAGGTTGCAGTGAGCCGAGATAGTGCCACTGCACTCCAGCCTGTGTGACAGCAAGATTCCATCTCAAAAAAAAAGCAATGCCATTTTAGTGGTGGTCAAAGAAGATCTCTCTAAGGAGGTGACATTTGAGCAGAGACCTGAATTGAAAGAGCTAGTTATGTGACAAACTGGGAGAAAGAACATTCCAGGAAGAGAGAACAAAGATCTTGAAGTGGCAATGAGCCAGGTGGGTCCAAAGAATTACGGAAACACCAATGCAGCCGGGCATGGTGGCTGTAATCCCAGCACTTTGGGAAGCTGAGGCAGGTGGATCATGAGGTCAGGAGTTCGAGACCAACTTGGCCAACATGGTGAAACCCCGTCTCTAATAAAGATACAAAAAATTAACTGGACATGGTGGTACACACCTGTAATCCCAACTACTCGGGTGGCTGAGGCAGGAGAATCGCTGGAACCTGGAAGGCAGAGGTTACAGTGAGCCGAGATCGCGCCATTGCATTCCAGCCTAGGTGACAGGGCAAGACTTTGTCTGAAAAAAAAAAAAAAATTGGGAACAGTGATATATGATAAGGTTGAAGGTACACAGAGGGGACAGTTTAGATAAGCCATCATAGTGATTTTGAGCAGGGAGTAAAGTGACCAGATTCTTATTTTTCTTTTATTTTATTAATTTATTTATTTTGAGACAGGGTCTCTGTTACCAAGGCTGGAGTACAATGGCATGATCACAGCTTACTGCAGCTTTAACCTCCTGGGCTCAACCAATCCTTCTATCTCAGCCTCCTAAGTAACTGGGACTAGAGGTGTACACCACCATGCCTGGCTGATTTTTTAAACTTTTTTGTAATGACAGGGTCTCACTATGTTATCTAGGCTGGTCTTGAACTCTTGGGGTTGAAGTGATCCTCCTGCCTTTGCCCTGCAAAGTGCTGGGATTACAGGCATGAGCCACTATGCCTGGCCCAGATTTTTTTTTTTTTTTTTTTGAGACAGAGTTTCGCTCTTGTCGCACAGGCTGGAGTGCAATGATGCGATTTCAGCTCACTGTAACCTCTGCCTCCCGGGTTCAAGCAGTTCTCCTGTCTCAGCCTCCCGAGTGGCTGGGATTACAGGCAGCTGCTACCATGCCTGGCTAATTTTGTATTTTTTAATAGAGACAGTAGACTTAGGAAGAAGTGATTAGATTTAGAATATATTTTGAATGTGGAACCGCCAAGTCTTGCTGATGGATTGGATGCAGGGTGAAAGAGAAAGAAAGATATCAGATGAAGCCAGGCGCGGTGGCTCAAGCCTGTAATCCCAGCACTTTGGGAGGCCAAGGCGAGCAGATCACAGGGTCAAGAGATCGAGACTATCCTGGCCAACATGGTGAAACCCCGTCTCTACTAAAAATACAAAAAAAATTAGCTAGGCCGGGCGCGGTGGCTCAAGCCTGTAATCCCAGCACTTTGGGAGGCCGAGGCGGGTGGATCACGAGGTCAAGAGATCGAGACCATCCTGGTCAACAAGGTGAAACCCCGTCTCTACTAAAAATACAAAAAATTAGCTGGGCATGGTGGCGTGTGCCTGTAATCCCAGCTACTCAGGAAGCTGAGGCAGGAGAATTGCCTGAACCCAGGAGGCAGAGGTTGCGGTGAGCCGAGATCGCGCCATTGCACTCCAGCCTGGGTAACAAGAGCTAAACTCCGTCTCAAAAAAAAAAAAAAAAAAAAAAAAATTAGCTGGGTGTGGTGGCATGCACCTGCAATTCCAGCTACCCAGGAGGCTGAGGCAGGAGAATTGCTTGAACCCGGGAGGCGGAGGTTGCAGTGAGCCGCCACTGTACTCCAGCTTGGTGCCTGGTGACAGAGCAGGACTCTGTCTCAAAAAAAAAAAGGAAGATATCAGATGACTCACACATCTTTCGCTCGAGCTCACGTGGTGGTGATGCCATTTACTGAGATGAAGGTCACTAGGGGAGGAACGGGTTTAGAGAGGAAATCAAACTTAGTGTTTTACCTCTTAAATTGAGAAGACTATGAGACAATTGAATAGATATGTCACTCATCTAGACAGAAGTATGAATGTGGAATACAGGAAAGAGGTCAGGACTGGAGATGTATATGTGGCAGTACTCGCATTATGTATGTTATTTAAAACCATGGGATCAAGTGAAGTGACCATGGAAGGGAATGTAGTGAAGTTGTCCGAGTTAAGGAAGCAATGAATGCAAATACTGACATTTTTTTGTTTTTGGAGACAGGGTCTTGCTCTCTCATCCAGGCTAGAGTGTAGCGGTGCAATCACAACTCACTGTAGCCTCAACCTCCTGGGCTCAATTGATCCTCCTGCCTCAGCCTCCCAAGTAGCTGAGACTCCAAGCACATACCATCACACCTGGCTAATTTTTGTAGTTTTTGTAGAGACAGGGTTTTGCCATATTGTCCAAGCTGGTCTCAAACTCCTGTACTAAAGAGATCTGCCTGCCTCAGCCTCTTAAAGTGCTGAGATTACAGGTGTGAGCCACCACACCTGGCTGACAGTTTCAGAAGTTTTGTATAGAAATGAACAGAGATTGTAATCCCAGCACTTTGGGAGGCCAAGGCGGGTGGATCACGAGGTGAAGAGATCGAGACCATCCTGGTCAACAAGGTGAAACCCCGTCTCTACTAAAAATACAAAAAATTAGCTGGGCATGGTGGTGCGTGCCTGTAATCCCAGCTACTCGGGAGGCTGAGACAGGAGAATTGCCTGAACCCAGGAGGCGGAGGTTGCGGTGAGCCGAGATCGCGCCATTGCACTCCAGCCTGGGTAACAAGAGCGAAACGCCGTATCAGAAAAAAAGAAATGAACAGAGATAATTATTAATAATAATCTTAGGGTTGAGCATGGTCACTCATACCTCTAACCCCAGCACTTTGGGAGGCTGAGGCAGGCGGATCATGAGTTAAGGAGATCAAGACCATTCTGGTCAACAAGGTGAAACCCCCTCTCTACTAAAATACGAAAAATTAGCTAGGTGTGGTGGTGGGCGCCTGTAATCTCAGCTACTTGGGAAGCTGAGACAGAGGAATCGCTTGAACCCGGGAGGCACAGGTTTCAGTGAGCTGAGATTGCACCACTGCACTTCAGCCTGGCAACAGAGGGAGACTCCATCTAAAAAAAAACATAGGTCCGTGTGCAGTGGCTCATGCCTATAATCATAGCACTTTGGAAGGCCAAGGCAGGCAGATCACCTAAGGTCAGGAGTTCGAGACCAGTCTGGCCAACATGGTGAAACCCTGTCTCTACTAAAAATACAAAAATTAGTTGGGCAGAGTGACATGCACCTGTAATTCCAGCTACTTGGGAGGCTGAGGCAGTAGAACCTGGGAGGAGGAGGTTGCAGTGAGTCAAGATCACACCACTACACTCTAGCCTGGGCAACAGAGGGAGACTCCATCTCAAAAAAAGAAAATAATGATCTTGCATACCAATTCCCATGTTTGACACTTAAAATATATTTCTAATCTCCATATCTACTTTGCAGAGTAAGTATTATTAATCCCATTCATTTTAGATGAGAAAAGCGAGGAGTAAAATTCCTTGCCCAAAGTTGCACAGATAGGAAAAAAAAAAAAACTGAGATGAAACTTAGCTCTATCTAGTACAAGGACCATGTTTTCTTTTTTTTTTTTTTTTTTCTTTAAGTTTTCATTTTTTATTTTTAACAGTGTTAGGAAGCAGCCAATCATAACTCAAGCTATTTGGTAGTAATTATTCTCCAACTGCTAATTTCTAGGCAGGAAAAATATGATTAAAATGAGTTTCCGCACAGCTGTTGATTAGACATAATGGCAAAGTCTTCATCATAAAACTAATAATCAGAGCAGAGCTAACATTTGAAAAGTTATTGTTGAGTAACCAGAAGGCTCTAAAAGCCAAAAACAATGTCCAACTAACTAGAAAATTACCACCGCCCCCACATACTTTCTTTTATTTATTTATTTATTTATTTATTTATTTATTTATTTATTTTCTGATGGAGTTTCACACCTGTCACCCAGGCTGGAGTGCAGTGGTGAGATCTCGGCTCACAGCAACCTCTGCCTCCCGGGTTCAAGACATTGCACCTGGCCAGATTTTCTTTTTCTAGAAAGGGGGCCTTCTTAAACTTGAAGAGGACCACGGTGGTTGAGGCTAGGCAGCAAGGCTTTACTGCAAATCCTTTTTTTTTTTTTTTTTTTTTTCTTTTTTTTTTTTTTATTGCATTTTAGGTTTTGGGGTACATGTGATGAACATGCAAGATTGTTGCATAGGTACACACATGGCAGTGTGCTTTGCTGCCTTCCGTCCCCTCACCTGTATCTGTCATTTCTCCCCATGCTATCTCTTCCCACCTCCCCACCCCCCACCCCTCCCCCATTTCCCCCCAACAGAAAGCAGATCTACAAGAAAAAAACAAACAAGCCCATTCAAAAATGGGCAAAGGATATGAACAGATACTTTACAAAAGAAGACATACAGGAGGCCAACAAACATATGAAAAAATGCTCATCATCACTGGTCATCAGAGTAATGCAAATCAAAACCACATTGAGATACCATCTCACACCAGTTAGAATGGCGATCATTAAAAAATCGGGAAACAACAGATGCTGGAGAGGATGTGGAGAAATAGGAACACTTTTACACTGTTGGTGGGAATGTAAATTAATTCAACCATTGTGGAAGACAGTGTGGCGATTCCTCAAGGACCTAAAAATAGAAATCCCATTTGACCCAGCAATCCCATTACTGGGTATATATCCAAAGGATTATAAATCAGTCTACTACAAGGACACGTGCACACGAATGTTCATTGCAGCACTGTTTACAATAGCAAAGACCTGGAACCAACCCAAATGCCCAACTGATGATAGACTGGATAGGGAAAATGTGGTACATATACACCATGGAATATTATGCAGCCATCAAAAACGATGAGTTCACGTCCTTTATAGGGACATGGATGAACCTGGAAACCATCATTCTCAGCAAACTGACACAAGAGCAGAAAATCAAACACCATATATTCTCGCTCATAGGCGGGTGTTGAACAATGAGAACACATGGACACAGGGAGGGGAGCACTACACACAAGGACCATGTTTTCAAAACCTAGGCGTCAGAACTTATAAGTAGATGCAAAATATTTAAAATGTGTATATATATTTTTGAGATGGAGTCTGTCTCTGTCTCCCTGGCTGGTATTTTTTGTATTTTTATTTTATTTTTTTTAGTGAGACGGAGTTTTGCTCTTGTTGCCCAGGCTGGAGTGCAATGGTGTGCTCTTGGCTCACTGCAACCTCCGCCTCCTGGGTTCAGATGATTCTCCTGCCTCAGTCTCCCGAGTAGCTGGAATTACAGGCATGTGCCACACGTGGCTAATTTTGTATTTTTGGTAGGGGTTTCATTCATGTTGGTCAGGCTGGTCTCGAACTTCATGTTGTTTAGGTGACCCACCCACCTTGGCCTCACAAAGTGCAGGGATTACAGGTATGAGCCACCGTATCTGGCCTAATTTTTGTATTTTTAGTAGAGACAGGGTTTCAGCATGTTGGCCAGGCTTGTCTTGAACTCTCGTCTTCAAGTGATCCACCTACCTCAGCCTCCCAAAGTGCTGGGATTACAAATGTGAGCCACAGCTCCTGGCCTTAAAAATTTTTCAAATTTATGTAAGTAGAGAGAGGGGTCTCACTATGTTGCCCAGGTCTTGAACTCCTGGCTTCAAGTGATCCTCCTGTTTTTGCTTCCCAAAGTCTTGGGATTATAGGCATGAGCCACCATGCCCAGCCTGATCTTTGTATTTATGTATATGGAAAGGCTTACAAAAAATAGAACAATTAAACCAGAATTCATTATGCATGTAATACATCTTTGTTAAAATGTATTAAAATGCAGTTAAGAGAGTTCCAGAATTTTATGGTTGTTTCATATTTATAAACAGCACAGTGGAGAGCAGTGGAACATTTCTGTTTTAACTGGACAGGCATGTCTTTTGTTTTACATAGATGCTGCTGTTCTCAACAATGTAGCACACACATTTGGTCTAATGGACACAGTCAAGAAGGTTTTAGACAACAGGAGGAACCAAGTAGAGCAGGGAGAAGAACAGTTTCTCTATACTCTGACAGGTATGTATAACTTAATCTCTCTTCTTTTGTGATATGTTAATATTCTTGAGTCTTGCCATTTCCTTGTTGACTTCTATTGGGGTAACTTTTTTTTTTTCTTTAATTCTCATAGTATCAAATTTTGCTTTTTAAAATAAAAACAACCCCAGGTGAGGTGGATTGATGAGAAAAAAGAGACACAAAGGAAAAAAAGAGGGAAACTGCCCTCATAGTTCTCCCCTCCTCCTGTGTCTCGTGGAGGATTATGATGTCTGTTAGATTGCTCCATTAATCTTGTAATATTGGTGGCAGAAGACACAAATTGATTTTTGTCTTTTTGACATTATTGATACTGCTTCTTTTGTTAGATATAAATTTAGCACTTTCTCCGTTATTTGTGGTCATCAGAAATTTTGAGCATATGGTTAATTTGACTTTTTATCAAGTACTTTATGCTAGTCTCCAAACTAGGTTTTAGAAATATAAAGTTGAATAAGACAGCTTCAGTCTTTTTGGGGGTCTTTAAGGAACTTAAGGGAAAGCAGACATAGAATCAAATAAATGCAAAAAGTAGTAAGTTTTGTGACAGAGGCATGTAGCGGATATTCTAGAAGAACAAGGGGAGTTTTCACTTAGACTCAAGAGAAGCTTTTGCAGGAGGTAAGGCAGGTGAAAGATGTAAAACAAGTCAGAGTTGTGGATTATCAACCTTTGAATAATATAGAATATATTATAGTCCGTTGTAAAGCCAAAAGGAAAGAAAGATCATTTGGTAAGAGAAGGACAATTTAGATTGTTTTACATTTATCTATCTATCTATCTGGGATGGAGTTTCACTCTTGTTGCCCAGGCTGGGGTGCAATGACGTAAACTCGGCTCACTGCAACCTCCACCTCCTGGGTTCACATGATTCTCCTTCCTCTGTCTCCTCAGTAGCTGGTATTACAGATACGTGCCACCACACCCAGCTAATTTTTATATTTTTAGTAGAGACAGGGTTTCATCATGTTGACAAGACTGGTCTTGAGCTCCTAACCTCAGGTGATACTCCCGCCTCAGACTCCCAAAGTGTTGGGATTACAGGTATGAGCCACTGTGCTCGGTTTACATTTATTTCTTTTATTTTTTTTTTTTTTTTTGAGACGGAGTTTCGCTCTTGTTACCCAGGCTGGAGTGCAATAGTGCAATGGCACGATCTCGGCTCACCACAACCTCCGCCTCCTGGGCTCAGGCAATTCTCCTGCCTCAGCCTCCTGAGTAGCTGGGATTACAGGCACGTGCCACCATGCCCAGCTAATTTTTTGTATTTTTAGTAGAGACGGGGTTTCACCATGTTGACCAGGATGGTCTCAATCTCTCGACCTCGTGATCCACCCGCCTCAGCCTCCCAAAGTGCTGGGATTACAGGCTTGAGCCACCGCGCCCGGCCTACGTTTATTCTTATATCCAGATATGTTTTGTTTTGTTTTGTTTTTCCCAGATTATGTTTTAAACTCAGTTTATTGAGTTTCGATCCTCCTAAAGATTCTGGGATGGCTATTATTCCTATTTTACAGGTGACCCAGTAGACGCACAGAGAGGATAAATGTGGCCCTGAGGCCACATCACTACTTGACAGAAAATCCCGGAGTAGAACTCTGTCATCTTACTCCTAATGCAGTGCTTCCTGTCACCTTAAAACTTTAAACCAGCCGGGCAAGGTGACTCACTCCTGTAATCCCAACATTTTGGGAGGCTGAGTCGGGTGAATCACGAGGTCAATACATTGAGACCATCCTGGCCAACATGGTGAAACCCTGTCTCTCCTAAAAATACAAAAATTAGCCAGGCATGGTGGTGCACTCCTGAAGTCCCAGCTACTCAGGAGGCTAAGGCAGGAGAATCGCTTGAACCCAGGAGGCGGAGGTTGCAATGATCCGACATAGCGCCACTACACTCCAACCTGGCAACAGAGCAAGACTCTGTCTCAAAAAAAAAAAAAGAAAAAAGAAAAAAATCTTTAAATCATCAGAAAAAATGGTTTTTGTTAGAAATATAGGCTTTTGATCTCTTGTGTGTATTATTTTTTCACATGGTTTTAATCATAGTCTATATAAACTCATTTTGTTTTTTCTTTTTTTTTCACCATGACATATTACTAATTTTCTTTTCTCTCTCTCTCTCTCTCTCTTTTTTTTTGTTTTTTTTGTTTTTTTTTTGTTTTTGAGACAGGGTCTCACTCTGTTACTGAGGCTGGAATGCAGTGGCACAGTCATGGCTCACTGCAACTTTGACCTTCCCCAAGCTCAGGTGACCCTCCTACCTCAGCCTCCTGAATAGCTGGGACTACAGGCATGTGCCATCGTGCCCAGCTGTTTTTGAATTTTGGTAGAGATGGGGTTTTACCACATTGCCCAGGCTGGTCTCAAACTCCTAGGCTCAAGTTATTCACCCATCTCAGCCTCCAAAATTCTGGGATTAATACTGTGAGCCACTCCGCCAGCCCTATTAGTATTTTTCAAGTTGCTTCTCAGTATTTTACCTGGATGTTGTTCTAGGGATGACATTTAAATTTTCTTTAGTAGGTTGTTTTATTGCAGTGAATTTGTCTGACCATAACCTTTTGTTTTTCATGTCCTTCTTTTTCTTGCTTGCTTTCTTTTCCTTTTCCTTTCTGTTTTTGGTAGAGATAGCTCTTGCTGTGTTGCCCAGGCTGATCTCAGAACTCCTAGACTAAAGTGATTTTCTCGTCTCGGCCTCCCAAAGTTCTGGGATTACAGGCATGAGCCACCATGCCTGCCCTTTTTTCTTCTTTTATTTATGTATTTATTTTTAATTTTTTTTTTTCACTCTGTCTTCAGGCTGCAGTACACTGGTGTGATCTTGGGTTATTCCAATCTCTGCTTCCTGGGTTGAAGCAACTCTCCTGCCTCAGCCTCCTGAGTAGCTGGGACTACAGTTGCGTGCCACCACACCCAGCTAATTTTTGTATTTTTTAGTGGAGACAGGTTTTCACCATGTTGGCCAGGATGGTCTTGATCTTTTGATCTCATGATCCGCCTGCCTTGGCCTCCCAAAGTGCTGGGATTATAGGCATGAGCCATTGTACCTGGCCTTTTTTTTTTTTTTTTTTTTTAAACCTCCATTCTCTCAGAATGTGAGTGGCCTTTTTAAAAATGTTCTTTTTGGGCCAGATGTGGTGGCCCCGTCTCTACTAAAAATACAAAACTAGCCATGCATGGTTGCAGGTTCCTGTAATCTCAGCTACTTGGGAGGCTGAGGCAGGAGAATCACTTGAGCCCAGCGGGCAGAGTTTGCAGTGAGCTGAGATCACACCACTACACTCCAGCCTGGGCAACAGAGCAAGACTCTGTCTCAAAAACAAACAAAAATAAATAAATAAATAAAAACTGTTCCTTTTGGCCAGGCACAGTGACTCATGCCTGTAATCCTAGTACTTTGGGAGCTGAGGCAGGCAGATCACTTGAGGTCAGGAGTTCAAAATCAGCCTGTGTCTACTAAAAATACAAAAAGTTAGCCGGGCATGGGTGGCATGCACTTGTAATCCCAGTTACTCAGTAGGCTGAGACAGGAAAATCACTTGAACCCAGGAAGTAGAGGTTGCAGTGAGCCAAGATTGTGCCACTGCATTCCTGCCTGGGGAACAAGAGTGAAACTCCATTTCGAAAAAAAAAAAAAAATTAGCTGGCCTTGTGGTGGCACCTGTAATCCCGGCTACTCAGGAGGCTGAGGCAGGAGAATTGCTTGAACTTGGGAGGTGGAGGTTGCAGTGAGTCGAGATTGTGTCACTGGGCAACAGAGTGAGACTCCATCTCAAAAAAAAAAAAAAAAAAAAAAATGTTCTTCTAAACTACTTCCCAAGACTAAGCTTGAAGTTAAAATGCTATTGGTAATTTTTTAAAATGGATTTTTATATCCCATTGTTAAATTCCCAACAAGGTTTTGCCCATTTGTGTCACATTGGATGTTGGTATTTATAATGTTTCCTGATTTAAATTTTTTTAAATTATAGATTTAATTGGTACCTTGTTTCAGTGTATAGTTTTTTTCATTACTACTGAAGATGGGGGAAATGCAGTATTTTTTTTTTTTTTTCCTGAAAAGGCAGTATTTTATGAATTTTGAAAGTGTTCATGATCCTTACCTACTCCTTTTATTCCAAGCAAGAAACTGACTTGCTCTTGGTGGGTTTTTGTTTGTTTGTTTGTTTATTTTTTAAAAGACGGGGTTTCACCATGTTGGTCAGGCTGGTCTTGAACTCCCAACCTCAGGTGATTTGCCCACCTTGGCCTCCAAAGTGCTTGGATTATAGGCGTGAACCACCACACCCAGCCTGCTCTTGCTGTTTTATTTTTATTTTTAATTTTTTAATTTTTTTGAGATGGAGTTTCCCTCTTGTTGCATCAGGCTGGAGTGCAATGGCCTGATCTCGGCTTACCACAACCTCTGCTTCCCGGGTTCAAGTGATTCTCCCTGCCTCAGACTCCCAAGTAGCTGAGATTACAGGGATGCACTACCAGGCCTGGCTAATTTTTTAAATTTTTAGTAGAGACGGGGTTTCTCCATGATGGTCAGGCTAGTGTTGGACTCCCGACCTCAGGTGATCTGCTTGCCTTGGCCTCCCGAAGTGCTGGGATTACAGGCATGAGACACCGTGCCTGGCCGCTCTTGGTGTTTTATAGTATGAGTCATTGGAAAAACCAAAACGTTTTTTCTACACTCATACACTCAATACAGCACAGAACACTTCTGTAATCAGATGTATAGGGGTTTTTCTGCATACACCTAGCAGTCAGGTCTACAGTGGACACTGACTTGGTATCATATAATTCAGTTCAGTTCTGATACTGTCCACCTGGATATAGCGTCACATTCCACAGGTAAGGCTCAGTCCCACAAGACTGCCTCCCATTCAGCCCCAGGTTGTGACCTGGGCTTTTTTTTTCTTTCTATTAATTGTTGAAGGCAAACTGCAGATGACCTGTGCTTCTGACCAACTGGCTATAAATTGGGGTTCCCATAATCACCTTCTTGTATTTGATTAATTTGCTAAGGTGACTCACAGAACTCAGAGAAACACTTGATGTTTATTGGGTTTATTATGAAGGTTATTACAAAGAATACAGATGAATAACCAGATGGAAGAGATGCATGGGACAAGGTGGGAAGGAGAGTGGAACTTCCATGCACTCTCTAGACATGCCACTCTCAGGAACCTCCAACAATCTAAGGCTCTGTGAACTCTGTCCTTTTTGGCCATTAGTAATCAACATATAGCCCCTCTCCACTCTTTGGGGAGGTTGTAGGGTAGGGCTGAAAGTCCTAGTCCTTTAATCATACCTGGATCTTTCTGGTGACCAGCCCCCAAATGAATCTATCTAGGGCTTCCTAGATACCAGTCATCTCATTAAGATACAAAGACATTTACCACTCTGGCGATCCATGTGTTTTAGAAGCTGAGTGCCCGAATCCAGGGGCAGAGACTAAATATGTATTTCTTATTATGTCACAGTATCACACATAGGGAACAAAGTGTTCTACAACTGTAACTGATTCTTTCTTGGGTACTTATGAAGTACTAAGTAATAGAGAGATTCCGTTGTAGAACCTGACTCACCAGTGGTCACCTAGGTTGGACTGGACACTTGGGAGAGGGATAGTGATAGGCATATTTATAATGCAGAAGCGATGAAGTTGGCCATTAGAAGATTTTTGTCCTGGTCCAACCTTTATAACCTTTTTTTTTTTTTGAGACGGAGTTTCGCTCTTGATACCCAGGCTGGAGTGCAATGGCACGATCTCGGCTCACCGCAACCTCCGCCTCCTGGGTTCAGGCAATTCTCCTGCCTCAGCCTCCTGAGTAGCTGGGATTACAGGCACACGCCACCATGCCCAGCTAATTTTTTGTATTTTTAGTAGAGACGGGGTTTCACCACGTTGACCAGGATGGTCTCGATCTCTCGACCTTGTGATCCGCCCGCCTCGGCCTCCCAAAGTGCTGGGATTACAGGCTTGAGCCACTGCGCCCGGCCCAACCTTTATAACCTTAATTTATTCATTTTCCCTCTCTGGATCTCTGTTAAAATGAATTTATTTGAACTCTAAGACCTCTTTCAGTTCTGTAATTTTTAGGGACTTCCTCTATAACTTTCTGTAGACCTTTCTGGGCAGCAATGGTAAACTGTGGCTATTTGAGTCACCAGCAAAGGAGTTTTCCAGCCAATGCAGCTGGAAGGATAGTTTGAAAATCACTGTTTTTTGGAATGGCCATTGTAGCTCCTTTGCAGGTCCATGACAGTTCCAAAGGACTGTGCAGCCTGGGTGCACTGGCTTATGACTATAATCCCAACACTTTGGGAAGGTGAGGTGGGTGGATCACTTGAGGCCAGAAGTTCAAGCTATATTGCGCGATGATAGCACCTGTGAATAGCCACTACCCTCCAGCCCAGGCAATAGCAAGACCCTGCCCCCCAAAAAACACAAGAAAGAAAACATATCACAAGTTGCCTGAAGTTACTTAGTAACAAAACTGGACAGAGACACCAGCCTGACTCTCAGTTTAATACTCCCAAGATTTTACTTCCCTCCACACAAAGTATTTTCTTTTTTTCCATAGACTTGGAACGCCAGTTGGAAGAGCAGAAGAAGCAAGCCCAGGATCACAGGCTGAAATCTCAGACGGTTCAAAATGTGGTACTGATGCCTGTGAGCACTCCTAAGCCTCCAAAAAGGCCCCGGCTCCAGCGGCCAGCCTCCACCACTGTCTTGAGCCCTTCTCCTCCTGTCCAGCAGCCTCAATTCACAGTCATCTCACCCATCACTATCACCCCAGTGGGTCAGTCATTTTCCATGGGCAATATTCCAGTGGCCACCCTCAGCCAGGGCTCCAGTCCTGTGACTGTCCACACTTTGCCTTCTGGCCCTCAGCTCTTCCGCTATGCCACAGTGGTCTCCTCTGCCAAGAGCAGCTCACCAGACACAGTGACCATCCACCCTTCATCTAGCTTGGCACTACTGAGCTCTACTGCCATGCAGGATGGGAGTACACTGGGCAACATGACCACCATGGTGAGCCCTGTGGAATTGGTGGCCATGGAGTCCGGCCTAACCTCGGCAATTCAGGCTGTTGAAAGCACCTCAGAGGATGGGCAGACCATCATTGAGATTGACCCAGCCCCAGACCCAGAGGCTGAAGATACTGAGGGCAAAGCAGTCATCTTGGAGACAGAGCTGAGGACTGAGGAGAAAGTTGTGGCTGAGATGGAGGAACACCAGCATCAAGTTCACAATGTGGAGATTGTGGTCTTAGAGGATTAACTGGGGATCTCAGGGCCAGGAGTTATGTTTTGATTTGGAATTTTAATTATTTGTTTATTTTTATCATTGTCCCATTCATTTCCACATAGGACCCTTTTTTTAAAAAAAAAAACAAAAAACAAAATCTTATTGTTATAACTGAAAATGTTGGGTTCCTCCCACTCCCTCATTGAAAACTGGACAAAACAAGCTGCCCTTTCAGAAGTTGAGAGTAGATAATTCAATGTCCTAATCATCTTACACCAAGAAAGTAATTTCTTTTAGGGAAAGTGTCAAGATATCAAGTAACCCTGTCCAGAAAGCCATTTCCAGGCTCATCTGTCTGTGTAGGCATGTGGTTTTACTCTTGTAAAGATACATTGACCAAACTCTGGAACACAGATCTGACACTGGAAGGCAACCCATTCACATGTGGATGCAGAAGGGCACTTTATTTTGTATCCTGAAAAGGGCCTACAGTGGCCAGTACAAAACTCTGAAACAAAAGGAAGTTGACTCTGCTTTGAGGGGAAGGTGGCATGCCAGCACTAGCTTAAAAAGGGAAGTATTGGCCGGGCGTGGTATCTCACGTCTGTAATCCCAGCAGTTTGGGAGGCTGAGGAGGGTGGATCACAAGGTCAGGAGTTTGAGACCAGCCTGGCCACCATGGTGAAACCCCATCTCTGCTAAAAACACAAAAATAATTAGCCGGGTGTGGTGGCGGGCACCTGTAATCCCAGCTACTCGGGAGGCTGAGGCAGGAGAATTGCTTGAACCTGGGAAGGCAGAGGTTGCAGTGAGCTGAGATCATACCACTGCACTCCACCCTGGGCAACAAGAGTGAAACTCCGTCTCAATAAATAAATAAATAATAAATAAATAAATAAAAGGGAAGTGCTTCAGCAAATATGGGGCAGAGAAATCATCTTACTTCCAGAAGTGCAACTGATGCCTCTGGAGATATCCAAGAGTTAGTACCATGAGTGCCATTTTGAGAAGAGGCTGGTAATAAGTGAAAGGTGCATCTTCAAAGAGCAAGTGGCAGCAGTGGCCTTTGGCTTTGCAGAAATGGAAAGCCAAAGCCGGTTGTGGTGGCTCATGCCTGTAATTCCAACACTTTGGAAGTCCAAGGCAGGCAAATCACCTGAGGTCAGGAGCTGGAGACCAACCTGGTCAACATGGTGAAACCCTGTTTCTACTGAAAATTAGAAGAAAAAAAAATTAGCCGGGCATGGCAGGGTGCACCTGTAATCCCAGATACTTGGGAGGCTGAGGCAGGAGAATTGATTGAACCCGGGAGGTGGAGGTTGTAGTGAGCAAAGATTGCACCATTGCACTCCAGCCTCGGCAACAAAAACAAAACTCCGTCTCAAAAAAAAAAAAAAAAAAAAAAAGCCGTGGATGCTGTAGTTGTGCTTTGGGGTTCAGGGTAATAGCTTACCTTGTTCTACACTTTGTCAAAGCACTTACCCTCCTAAACTAGGATCAGTTCATTCATCTGAAACTGCAATGTGATATAAATTGCTCTGGTTCTTGGACTGTGGCTGTCGTAGGGATGGGGCTCCAAGGCCATCATTTTCATTGCATGACTAGGAACTGGGAGTTCCTCAATCACACCAGCTGCCATTTTTGGTGGGGCCATTTTTTGGCTTTGGAAACAAAAGCAGCCACTCATTTGGTGCTTCCTCTTGTTCTGCCCTCCATCCCTCAACTCTTAGTGGCAGCTGTCTCCTGGAACCCACGCTCTTCAGCTTTTTGGCTGATTTGGAGAGCAGTGACGGGTGCCTGCTTGCCTTCATCCCCTTTTAGATTCATTTATACCACAGATGTTTCTGTGAGATTTTGAGATCATAAAAAGCTTTAGGCTTGGCAGAGAGGACTCAACACCCCCAGGCTTTCCTGAGGCACCAACTAGGTGTCTTCTGAGTGAGCTGGATGCCCTGGGAAAGAAGCTTTGTCCGCAACATTATATTATAGGAAATGTAGCAGGAATGTCAATAATAATGTTGGGGGGAGTTATTTTTTGTTTTGTTTTGTTTTTAATGTTGTTTGTATATTTAGAGCTGGGCCATTTTCTGTGCTGTGATTCCTTCTCTTTGACCCTCTTCAGTGTTTGGGGCAAGAGTGGACCCTTGTTTTAATTTTTTTGATTGCATTGTTTACTGCACTAGGAAAAATGTAAGAATATAGAAACTACAGACAAATTTAAGGAGAAATAGGTCAAAAAAGAAAGCACACGCCTCGGGAGTGGGAGGAATTTTTTAATTAAAAACAAAACTTTGACCCGTAGTTTTTCTTTCTTTTTTTTAAAGAAGGCACCTACCAGAAGCCATGTTTCTTCCAACAGATGTTGGAAACTCCATCAAGCAAGTAAAAGTTGCATTCTCCATCCCTCAGATGGCTATATGTAGCCAGAGAAACCCTGTAACATGAGAGGGTCACTTTTTTTTTTTTTTTTTTTTGAGACAGAGTCTCTCTCTGCCCCCCAGGCTGGAGTGCAATGGTGTGATCTTGGCTCACTGCAGCCTCCGCCTCCCCGGTTCAAGTGATTCTGCCTCAGCCTCCTGAGTAGCTGGGATTACAGGTGGCTGCCACCAGGCCTGGCTAATTTTTGTATTTTTAGTAGAGATGGGGTTTCACCAAGTTGGCCAGCCTTGGCCTCGAACTCCTGGCCTCAAGTGATCTGCCCGCTGTGGCCTCCAAAGTGCTTGAATTACAGGCGTGAGCCACCACACCCCACCTGAAGATCATTCTTTTTTTTTTTTTTTTTTTTTTGAGACAGAGTTTCGCTCTTGTTACCCAGGCTGGAGTGCAATGGCACGATCTCGGTTCACCACAACCTCCGCCTCCTAGGTTCAGGCAATTCTCCTGTCTCAGTCTCCTGATTAGCTGGGATTACAGGCACGCACCACCATGCCCAGCTAATTTTTTGTATTTTTAGTAGAGACGGGGTTTCACCTTCTTGACCAAGATGGTCTCGATGTCTTGACCTTGTGATCCACCCGCCTCGGCCTCCCAAAGTGCTGGGATTACAGGCTTGAGCCACCGCGCCCGGCTGAAGATCATTCTTAAGAATGAGATTTGTGAACTCTATACAGTTGTCGATTTCAATTTTTGAATAGTCTGGGGTTTTCTTTTTCTTTTCAAAAGGTCTAATAGACTTAGCAATGAATTTAAAACAGATACTTGGCCCTTAATATATCTTTAGTGAGGGAGGTAGCTTTTATTTCCTGCTTGTTTAGGTTTTCTGTTGGCACATAAACAAAAGCAAAATTGCCGTCTAAGACTGAAACTACTTGAATCTAGGAAGGCACATCTCATCCCTGTTATGGTTTTTAGGGACATTTTTCTCTTTCCCAGTGATGAGAGGACCAATTCAGGACAGAAGAGCCCTCGCAAGTACCAACATGCTAGCTCAGGTTCCCTTCTTTCCTCCGTAAGAGTTATTAGTAGGGTTTTAAGGTAGTGTGTGCATCATGCTTCCAGAGTCAAGAGATTTCCTCAAACAGCCTGTTTACTAGATGAATTTTCCAGCTGGTGAAATACATGAGCTTTGTTGTTTTCCTGGTCTTCCAATAGCCTGTCATCATTGTTAAATATTATGGTACCTGTTGTTGAATATGAGTTCCCTTACAGCACTGGTCTAGATGATCCTAGATGGGGTGAGACATATGCAAGCCATTGGTATGTGCATAAGCAGTTGCAATGAATCATTCCTTAGGCTGATTTGGTAGTAGCCATTTATCTTTCTATTCATGCATTGAATAAACATTTTTAAGAACCATCTCTGTGCCAGGCTTTGTGCTAGGCACTGACAGTAGAGAGATGAAGACATAGTCTTTGCACTCAAGGAATTTATACTCCAGATGTCCAGAGTTAAGAAACATATTTCAGCCAGGCACAGTGGCTTATACCTAGAATCCCAGCACTTTTGGAGGCTAAGGCAGACTTGCTTGAGGCCAGGAGTTCAAGACTAGCCTGGTCAACATAGCAAGCCCCCAATCTCTACAAAAAAATGTAAAAATTAGTCAAGTGTTGTGGGTCACACTTGTAGACAGTTATTCAGAATGCTGAGGCAGGAGGATTTTGCTTGGGCCTAAGAGTTCAAGGCTGTAGTGAGCTATGACTGCCACTGTACTTTCCCCTAGGCAACAGAGCAAGATACCCAGCTCAAAAAACCAAAACTATACATTTCATTATAATTGGTTTCCTTTGTAATTCTATGTATTTTACTTTATGCATTGAAAAACATTATTTAAGAATTGGTTCATCGGTTTCAGCAAACTGCCAAAGCACAAGCAGTTAAGCAACTCTCCTCTACTGAGGTATGAAACAGATCATATTGGGGTGAGTCCTATGATAGGGCTATTGGCTAGGAGCTGACAGAACAAAGCATGAAGTGCCTAACCCCACTTAGGGGTGTATCTGTGGGGTCAGGAAATAAGGGAGATCTTCCTGGAGAAGGCATATACCTAAGCTGATCAAGAGAGACCACTTTTGGCTAGGTTTATTGTACTACTTCATTTTCAGGTAATTGGGCTTATTATTCTAGAGAAAAAGCCTTCAGTTTCTTGTTGCTTCTGCTTGCAGAGGAAGGCAGAGTCAGCAACATGGGCAGTCTCTCCGCTGGAGAAAGCTGATTCATGCATGGGCTTCTCCAGGTTTCCATCAGATGGGACCCAGTGCTGAATACAATGCAGGATTGGAGTCTACCTGGCAAAGGGTAAATGCCCAGACCTGCCATATGGTTTCCACAAAGGCCTGAGAGTCAACTGTACAACTGTCTTGTCTTGGCCATGTTCCTGTTTGGTTCCTGCCTTGTTCTCTTCCCTTTCTCAATTTCCAAGCTCCCGCCACTCCTGAATACAAAACAAAACCGGTCATTCTGAAGTAATAAATGGACAATAAACGTGAATATTCAAGATTCAAAGCCACTTCATATGAAGGTTCTTTCACACCTCTGTCCATATTAAGAAAGGAGGACCGGCCGGGCGCGGTGGCTCACGTCCGTAATCCCAGCACTTTGGGAGGCCGAGGCGGGTGGATCATGAGGTCAAGAGATCGAGACCATCCTGGTCAACATGGTGAAACCCTGTCTCTACTAAAAATACAAAAAATTAGCTGGGCATGGTGGCGCATGCCGGTAATCCCAGCTACTCAGGAGCCTGAGGCAGGAGAATTACCTGAACCCGGGAGGCGGAGGTTGTGGTGAGCCGAGATTGCGCCATTGCACTCCAGCCTGGGTAACAAGAGCGAAACTCCGTCTCAAAAAAAAAAAAAAAAAGAAAGGAGAACCAGTGTTATTTATTTCAAACATCTGGAAAATTAATATTCAGTTCAGGTGGCTCTGACACCCAGTAGTGGTAGCATTTTATTCCATTTCATCAAAGGCATTAAAGGTAAGATCATGGTGGAGAGTATTGATTATAAAAATAGTAAAAGTCAAGCATGAAATGTGGAATTAGTAGTTGAGTTATACCATCCAGGTTTTAGTATTA